ATGGATGGATGATAGGTGGAGGGACAGATGGATACATTGACATAAACCAATAAACAGATATATGGGTAATGATGAATAGGAAGAAGGAACTCCATGGGGGCGAGAGTGGCCAGGGCCAGAGCACCTGCTGAGTGGTGATAGATCTGGGTCATAGAAGGGACGAAGGCCGGACACAGGCAAGGCAGGGCAGGTGTCAGGATGGGGCAGATCCAGGCACAAACAAACTTTGCTAGTGTGTCCTCCCTTTTACACAGCCCTGATTTCACTGGATCTTCACAGAAGTCCTGGGAGTTACGTATCATTATCCCCATTTCACACAAGGAGAAATGAGCTCAATGACATTAAGTGATTTGCCAAGGTCACACAACAGGCAAGAGGCAGTTCTACTGAATTCTGTTGACGTTTCTCTTTCTCGGTCACTAGGAAATGGAAGCCCTTCCGTTGCAGGGGTAAGGATAGGACACACGTGTACACGTGAACACACACATACACCCATATATATACTCTTAAAAGTCCCAGCCTCCAGGGCCATCTGTCATTAAAGTCACCTCACCCTCATTTCAACCCTCCTCATCCCTATCAGACACCAGGCAGTCAAGCCATGCCTTCTGTGGTCTGCAGAGAAAAGGTAATAGAGATGAGATTTGTTGCTTGGACAAGCAGAGAGGCGAGAGTGGAACTCTCATGCAACAGAACTGGGACAAAGCCAAACAGGACAAGCCAGAGAGGCCGTCTCATGCTGGGGAGCTGCAAGGCCAGATGAGGGTTAGTGGCCAAGGACGGGGAGGGCTTTCCCTTTGAACAAGACCCCCAGCCTCTATATGTCCAGTTCTGCAGCAGGCTTTGCTGTGGAAGATGGCCGGGAAGGAGCGGGCTGTGCCGGCCCTTGAGTTGCCTGTTCCCAATGGTCAACAATTCCCAACAGAGGGGGGCAGCAGAGGGCTGATCTAGGACCCTAGGTACCTGAGGCCTTGTTCCAGGCAAGAGGGCTGGACTGGTCGGAGCCTGGCCCAAGCTAGGAAGAGAGCTGCCTTGGCATGACCTCTCCTCTCCTCCTCAACAGGCCTGTCCTTCGCAGCTTACCATCAGTCACTCCCTGTTGGAGCCTCACTGTTGTTCAGTAGTAAAGGTATTATAGTGGCTCAGCAAGGAAAAAGGACCCTCTGGAGGTCATACAACTAGAGAGCCTCCAGGCCAGGACCTGATTGCCCTGCCTACCGGCCCCTGCCCCTACAGAGTTGCCTCTCTGCTCTTGGAGCTGGAGTTGCCCTGTGTAAGGCTGAGGATAGGGTCAGGGCCCCTCCCCTCCCTGCCCTCCTCCTGCTTGGGGGGATACCTGCAGCAGGCAGAGAAGTGGAGGTGGCAGGCACTCCGCAGCTGGGGTGGTGGGGAGGGAGGTGCGGTAATGAATGTGGACGGGAGGCGGAATGAGCGATCCATCTTTGCATGGGAGGGGAGGGGCTGCGGGCGTTCCCCCCACACACTCACACACTCAATCAGGCGCTGTCAGACCTCCGGCCGCCTGGCATTTTGGTGAAGAATCTCTCAGCTAAAAATTGTTGTCAGTCCCATTTCCTCGTTATCAGTGCAAGGGCTGAGGCAGCGCCCAGGGATTAGCAGGAACGGCAAGCGCCCGCACCCGCCATCCTCTGCAGATAACACCAGGCATCCCGCCTCACCTCCCCCATTCATCATCTTTAGCACTGACAGTCCATCCCGTCCCTGTCCCCATCCCCATCCCCTTGTGCTTCCCACATCTCCCCACTGTGCTGCTCAGCCCGGCTCCTGGCCTCCTGAGAAAGCGAGGCCTCCTCCCACCTGTGGCAAAAGGGCTTGGCTGGCTTTCGGGGCTGGGGGGTGTCACGGGCTGGAGAGAGGAACACCTGGGAGGACGCCTGCTGACAGCCTGCCTCTGGTGGGCTCAGTGTGCCCACCTGTGGTGCTGCCAGCAGTACTGGAGAAGGGATTCCTGCATCCGATGGGCAGCTGGACAAATGATTCCAGGGGTCTCGCCAGCCTGAAATGGACTTCCAAATTCTGGGAGCTATGGAAAGGAAGAGCCAGAGGATGCTTCCTCCCAAGCCTAGGAGGAGTATGGGGTTGAGGGCTTCATTTCCACCCCAGCAGGACCACAGCCCCCTCCTCTTGGCCATCCCCAGCGGTTTTATGGCCCGTTTTATGGCCACTGTAATGGCCCAGGTCAAAAGCTTCAGGGAGCTGTATTCTGGGAATTATGCAAACGAGGAGCAGGCCCAGGGCCAGAGTATGGATTTTGTCATTAAACCTGGGCAGGCCATGTCGTTAGTGCAGTAAAACCCACGTCATGACCACAGGTCTCAATATAAAATTATAGAGAACACAGCGGGGGAGGGGACGCAGGGGGCCCATGGCCATGCTGACACCTGCCACTCTAACCCCTGAGAAAATGGGGGGTGGGATGGAGGGCAGAGGCTGCAGGGTCCCTCCACTGATCCCTGCCAGTGCTGTTCCTGAAGCTGTGAGCCAGGAAGAGGGCCTATTGTCCTGATAGGGAAACTGAGGCCAAGCTGAGAAAAGTAGAATATCCCTGTGGCAGCAAAGCAGAGGAACTGAGTACAGGTAGGTAGGAATGCTGACGCCTGGTCCCCAGGCTTGGAGTGAGAAATCTGGGCTCCAGAAAGCCCTAAGAGCCAGACTTGGTGTCCCAGGCTAACGGGCTGAACCACTGATACTTCCAGCTCAGCTCAGACCCCATGTCTGGGATCCCCCTCTTTCTCCATTCTCCTGTCTTAACATTGCCCCCTTCACATCCCAGCCCCTGCCTCAATTATCCGTTCCAACAACCTTGTCAACTCCCTTGCTCCTCCTGCCTCCCACTGAGTGTCACCTCGCCCACAGATCCTGCCAACCTTGCTGGCCCCTTTCCACCCTCCCACGAATCTTTTGTGTCCTCCTCATAGTTACCAGCATTGACTGCAGTCACTGGCTCTCTTTTTGACTTTCCTACTAATCTGTGTTCTCCTCGAAGCCAAGGATACATCATACTTATCTCTGAGCTCTAGTTTCCCTAGAATAATACCTGACAGAATAATTGTTAAATGTTTGCTGAGTGAATAAGTAAATGAAGTCATGAGATCAAAAGCCAAGTAAAAGGACTGTGTCCTGTTCTGAGCCTCAATTTCCCTAGCTGTAAAATAAAGATAATGGCCTGGAGAATGTCTAGGGTCTTGTTCACCTCTGAGATTCTCCGGCTAACTGAAGGTGGGGGCAGAACAGAGACTGGACTCCTCATCTCCCACCTCCAGACCAGGGCCACATCTGCTCAGCTGTTCCCTGAGCATCTGAGGCACAGCCACCGATCAGTAGGACTTCCTCCCCTCCTCAGAGACCTTGCCACACAGACTGGAGCCTCCTGGATGGAGGGAGCTGCTGTCCCAGCCTGCGAAGGTTATCTGGCTTCCAGGACAGTCTGCTCTTCAGGCCCACCTTTCTTCTCCCTGTTTCTCTTTTCCTCCCTCTTGCTTCATCATGGAGCATCTAGGCTATGCCAGGCCTGCTATAAATTGTCTATACACATAAAGATAGATAAGAAATGGTCTATCCCACAAGGAACTCACAACTTATTCATTAACTCATTCATTTGCCTGGTATACTTCCAAGGTACAGCTTAAATTTCACTTCTTTGGTTAAGCCCTCTCTTTTTTCCAGTCCTCAAAACACACACCTAGAATGAATTGCTCCTTCCTTTGAGCCCTCAGATGACTCTATCTGGGCATCCAGGGGAGCCGTAATCATCCTCAGTCTTTTGTCAAAGGGAGGTGGGTTCTGTGTTCAGCCTGAACCTGAGGCTTCCTCAAGTACAAGGTTGCTAGAGTTCGCATATAAAAATAACTAGACATCTAGGTAAATTTGAATTCTAGAAAAATGGTAAGTAGCTTTTAGCATAAGTTGTCCCATGTAATACTTGGGACATACTTACACTAAAAAAATTCATTATCTGAAATGAACTGGGCATCCTGTGTGGAGTCTGGCAGCTCTACTGAGGCAGCCATCTTGCTCATCACTGGCATGGCCTTTACCTCTCAAAAGCTGATTTTGACCCCCTCCAAGCACCAGTGGAAAGAAGAAGAAGGAAGGAAGATCTGGGCTCAAGCTAAAGTCCTTTGTGCAGTCAAAGCATCCATGAATACACAAGGATGTTTCTAGACTAATAGAGTTCCTCAACCCCACACCTATAAGCAGAGGCTACAGAGCATTGCGTGTCCCCATGAGTGACAAGGGAGGGGGTTTAAACATCCCAGCTGGCCAGGCGCAGTGGCTCATGCCTGTAATCCTAGCACTTTGGGAGGCCAAGATGAAAGGATCACTTGAGGCCAGGGTTCAAGAACAGCCTGGTCAACATAGTGACACCCCCATCTCTGTAAAATAAATAAATAGGGCCAGGCACAGTGGCTCATGCCTCAATCCCAGCACTTTGGGAGACCAAGGCAGGCAGATGGCTTGAGGCCAGGAGTTTGAGACCAGGCTGGCCAACGTGAAGAGACCCCATCTCTACAAAAAATACAGAAATTAGTCCAGCATGGTGGTGCATGCCTGTAATCCCAGCTACTCAGAAGACTGAGGCAGGAGAATCACTTGAACCCAGGAGGCAGAGGTTGCAATGAGCCAAGATCATGCCACTGCACTCCAGCCTGGGCAACAGAGCAAGACTCTGTCTCTAATTAATTAATTAATTTTTAAAAGAAAATAATAGACGTCCCGTGGCGGGACAGGTACGTCCTAATAAATTTCTGACAGGGGTAGCTGGCTGAGGAGGTACCATTCAAGGCCACAGTCTCTGGAGCTGCAAGGAGGAGGGGTGCTCCTGGGCTCTGAAACCCTCAGGCCCCTCCTCTTCTTGGCCTTCTAGGCCAAGAAGCCCTAGGGAGCAGCAGCAGGCTTGGGTTTGAGGACTGGGATGCTGGGTCTGGCTCCTGGACCAGCCCAGCTTATGCGTCTGTCTGTTCTTCTCCCCTGACCAGGTAAGAAGAAAGCAGCGGCACTGTTCGACAGCCAGGCCCCGATTTGCCCCATCTGCCAGGTCCTGCTGAGGCCCAGTGAGCTGCAGGAGCATATGGAGCAGGAACTGGAGCAGCTGGCCCAACTGCCCTCGAGGTAAGCCACCTGCTGGGGAGCCTGCCTGCTGGAGGAGTCCACTCAGGGTTCTGGCCACCAGATCCCATACCCCAGTCCTTCAGGAGAAGACAGGACTCTGCCACCCTTCTCCACAACTCCGTTTCAATCCTCAGATCCTTCCACTGAATGGAGCTGCCTTCCTCTTCTTGCTCTATTTTTGGAGACGGGAGGAGAGTGACCCCTCAGGCCCCAGCCTCAAAGGAAAACACAGAGGAGCTAGACAGGGGATGAATCACTGCCACAGGTCCAGCACTGCCATGTTGAGCCTCAGAGCAGAAAAAAAGAAGCAGGTCCCCCGGCAGGCCCCTCACAAGTACAGCCAGGTCCTTCTTCCAGGGCAGTGGGCTACCTTCTCTATGAATCTCAGTGTCTGAAAGATGACAGTCTTGAGAATGTGCTCAGGTGTGTTCCCCACTGTCCCACCCACCTCACCCCCAGCCTCCCTCCCTTTCCCCTGCCTGGAGGACTGGGCTGAGCCTCCTCAAAGGCCTGCTGGAGGAACCAGGTTATCAAAAAGAGTAGAGGAGAGGTGTGGCAAATTACCTAAAATCTTAGCAGTTTAAAGCAACCGTTTCATTGTGCTCCTGGAATCTGTGGGGTCAGGAATTCAGACAGGGCACACAGGAGATGGCTGATGTCTGCTCCGTGATGTCTGGAGCTTTAGCTGGGAAGACTTGTTGGCTGGGAGCTGGGTCATGTGAAGGCTGCTTCCCTCACAAGGCTGGGGGTTGATGCTGGCTGCCAGCTGGGACCTCAGCTGAGGCTGGAATCAAAGCACCTACACAGGGCTTCTCCATGAGGCCTGGGCTTCCTTATAGCCTGCCCATCTCAGGGTGGTTGGACTTCTTGCATGGCAGCTTTGGGGTCTAAAAGCAAATGTTTTAGCCAATGAGATAGAAGCTGGATCACCTTTTATAACCCAGCCTCAAAGACACTGAATCTCACTTCCACTGTATTCTATCGATTGAGGCAGTATTAGACCACCCAGAATTCAAGGGGAGGGGACATACACCTCCCTTTTGATGGGAGAACTGGCAAGGTCAAATTGTAGAATTGTGTGTAGAATGGAAGATATGGTTGCAACCATCTTTGGAAAATACAATCTGCTACCGAGGGACAGCTTGCCCTGCTCCTCCCAGCCCCACCCTTTATTCAGTTCAAGTCATCAGACTTGACTGATCCTCCTTCCTTCTACCTTCTCACTGAATCTCCATGCAGAGTGCAGAGGATCCCACAGTGAATCAGAATGATCCCTACCCTTGGAAGTTCATAGCATGAGGGTAAGGAGGGTTGGGCAGTAGAAACCCGGAGGGACAGAGACTGCTATGCAGGAAGAACTGGAGCGGCAGGGTGTCAAGGAGGCACCAAACCCAGCACAGAGCACAGAAGGCTTCCTCAGGAAGGTGAGGCCTGAGCTGAATTTTGAAGGAAGAAATATTTAGTCATGTATCTCTGTATTACAAATTATCCTCAAACGTAGCAGTTAAACAACACACATTTATAATCTCCATTTCTGTGGTCATAAATTTGGGAACAGCTTAGCTGGATGGTTGTGGGTGGTTGTGGCTACTGGCTGGAGTCTCTCAATAAGCTGCAGTCAAGATAACAACCAAGGAAACAGTCATCTGAAGATCTGACTGAGACTGCAGGATCTGTTTCCAAGATGCTCACTCATGTGGCTATTAGCAGGGGGCCTCAATTCCCCTACATGTGGGTCTCTCTATAGGACAGCTTGAATTTCCCTATGACATGGCAGCTGACTTCCCACAGAGCATGCAATCCAAGAGAGGACTAGGGAGGAAGCCACAGTGCTTCCTATGATCTACTTTGGGAAGTCACACACTGTTGCTTCCACTCTATTCTGTTCTGTTCACTAGGAGCAAGTCATCAAGTCCAGCTTGCACTCAAGGGAGAAGAATTAAGCTCTATAAGCTCTACCCATTGAAGCGATCCATCTTCTATGCCAAGAATCCATAGGCATAGAAGATTATACTAGTGGTAATAATAATAATGCTTGTTGAACACTCACTCTGTACCAAATACTTTACATTGCATTAATTTATTTAATCTTCACAACAACCCTCTGAAGTAGGTAATAATAATTGCTCCCATTTTACAGAGGAAGAAACTGAGGTGCAGAGGAGTTAAGTGACATCTCTAAGGTTGCACAGCTAGTAAGTGATGAAGATAAGATTCAAACCTAAAGTAATCTGACTCCAGTACCCATGCTTTTAATCACTCCCCATCCCCACCATCCCCCCACACACCTGGGATTGGCCTGCCAGTGGCAGAAAGTGGAAAAAAAAATCCTTCTGCAATTGAGTTCCGTATTTTGGCTGTCCAGGAGGGGTCCTGTGTAATTTGCTCCCAGAGGAGGACTTCTAACAGGGTCAGAGAATAGAGGCAGAGGATAGAGGGGCCTGCCCAGCCTTGTAAAAGCAGTGCGCCCCTAAGAGCCTGGAGAATGGGGGCCCCCAGCTCTCTTTCTGCCTCCTCCGTGAGGGCCACTCTACAGTGCAGTCCCAGGTGCCCCACACCTGCAGTGCCCAGGTCATGCACTTCTGCCAACAGCCTTCCTTGTTCCACACCCCCACCCACGACCCTGCACAACCCCTCATCCCCCACATCCTCCCAGAGCATCCCCGCCCCGAGCTCCATGCCTCTCGCGGCTCTGTCTTGCGTCCCCGCATCTGTAGACCTCACGTCGCGGCCTGACCCAGCACCCTACGCCCATACCCTCTCCGAACGTGCACGCCCTGCGCCCCCGGCACGCGCCCCCCTCCAACCGGGTGTCTGACAGCCGGACAGCGGGATCTGCACAGCAAGTGAAATTCCCGTCGGATCGATAAAGCCGAAGCGCTGGCGGCGACGGGTCGATGGTTTTATCTGTCTCGGCCCCGCCGCGCCCGGCGCGCTGACAGTAGGACCGGCCGGCAAAGGCGTTCAAGGGCAGCCGCGCCCGCGCCCCCTCCCCTCGCTTCTCTCGCCCTCCCTCCCTGTGGCCGCTGCGCCCACCGGACTGCAGGCTGGACCGGCCCGCCGCCCCCCTCGTGATTTATCTGGATTTTTAATTGGAAAAAATTTGCGAATTAATTGATTTCAGGAACTTGCCAATTAACACTGTAATTGGGTGCGTGATAAATTCCCAAGGAGCGTGTCAGCTCCCTCCGGGCTGATGGCCGCGCAGTAGGGAGCGCGGGGAGGGCCCCAGCCTTGGCTGCCCTTGCCCCGCCCCTGCCCGCTCTCCGGAAGCCGGGACTGCAGAGGAGGTTGGGAAAAGACGACACACTGGGGCTCCTGAAACCCCTTCTCCACCCCCCACCATCAGCTCCCCGAGCAGAGGGGCCTGAGACCAGCCATTTCACAGATGGAGAAACTGAGGCCTGCAGGAGGGTGTGTGTGCCTCACTTCCAGGGTCCTGGTAGAGCCCAAATGAGGGCAGCTCCATCCACCAACACTGGGGTTGGAGGCTTTCTCCCCAGCTCTCCCTCTTTCCCTCCCCTCCCCTCTCCTCTCTGCTGCACCCTTCTTCCCCCTGCTGGCTCCTTCCTCTTCTCTCCTCTAACTGTCCCCTTTTCTCTCCTATACTGCCTTTGCCTCTGTTGCCTCCTTTGCCCTCCCTGGCCTTCCTCAGCCTAGCCAGCTCCTGTGTCTGTGGATGCTGCCACCTGGTGCCCTCCATCAACCTGGACAGGTCCCCCCACCACTTGACTCCTGCCTAAGGGGCTCTTCAGACTGGCCCAGTGTTCTGCCTCCTGCCTCCCTTTGCCCAACAGCACAGAGCAGGCCTCCCTAGGAGCAGGCTGCTATTTCAGACACACTCACAGGCTCAGAGAAGTAGGGACCTTCCAGCTCCAGGACTGGCTGTGTTTCAGACACAGGCACAAACATATACAGGACACACAGGTGTGCACACACCCCCATTCCAACACACAAATGTGCCCACACACACACACCCTGAAAGAAGCTATGTCCCATGAATGTCATTCCCACAGGTACATGGGTGTACAGACACTTACAGGAAGAGCAGTCAGCACTTCCCGTTAGCAAAGTCCTTACACTTTTCAAAGCATTTTTCCATTTGAGATCAGAGGCTGTGCCAGCACTCTCTGCCTCACCCCAGCCTTTATCTTTCCCCTTCTCAGTCCTGCACAGGGGCTCCAGTAGACCCCAGGACTTGGCCAGGTAGAACAAGGAGGGCAAAGTTAGATGGAGGACAGATTGTAGAGGGCCTTCAGTGCTGGAGGGCGTCCTCAGTGGGGTGGAGAGTAAGCCGAACATTCATGAGCCAGGGTGAAGCTTGGTCAGAGAGAGACAAGCAGGAGGGGCATGGTTTCCAGGCCAGCGTGGAGTGTGGGTTGAGTGTAGAAGCAGGGAGGCTAGGGACGAGGTTGGGCGGGATCCAGAGGAAAGTTGGTGAGGCTGACCCAGGACAGTGACAGTGGCAGTAGGGATGCAGAAGAGGGAATGACAAGAGACCAGGTGGGGGAAGAAGCCACAGGACTTAGCTGGGGTGCTTATTGGAAGGAAGCTTTCTAATTTGGATGACTGGAAGAGTGATGGTAGCAGAGAGGCAAGTGTCTGCGGGAAGGAGGGGACGCTGGGATGGTGATGGGGGAGGCACTGGATGTATGGAGAGATGGACAGGGACATAGATAGATGGGGGCTAGAGGTTGATGGGCAGGGTGTGGAGGAAGGGGTTGGCCCCCAGACTTCCCAGTGGCCCTCAGGCAGGAGTTTCCACCCAGAGAGATGAAGGAGCCTCAGGCATGGAGAGATTGCACAAAGCTAAAAGTGGGGCTTGGCTTGATGGGGCCTGAACTTAGAAAGAGATATTCTCTGGAAGGCTTCTGGAGCCACTCGAGATCAGGCCTCTGGGCTGGGAAGACAGCTCTCTGGCCAGCACTTTAAAAGGGCTGGAAGAAGCCAGAGGGAGGCTGGGTGACTCTAAAGGAGAGGCGGGGTGTGGAGATGGTAGTGCCCCCACCCCCACTTAAGCCTTATTTAAGGCCGGCCTCGGTGTTTGGTTGGGTAATGAACTAGATAAACAATTCCCCAAATAGATTAAAACGAAGTGTAACTTACAAAGGCGGCTGGTGATGATGGTTTATTCCTGGGCAGCGCACCATTTCTTTATTTCCAAGGATAATTCAGTGTAAATCACCTTAATTAAAAGTGTCAGCCCAGCCCATGAATATTGTACTTAGGAACGCGTTTCCTGGGTCCCAGTTATAATTTAAAACCCATGGATCACTAGGCAGCGAGTGACTGAGCAAGGGAGGAAATCGTTGGGGGCGGGCTGTGGAAACAGGGAGGGACGAAGGCAGAGCTGATGGGCTGGGCGGGAGCCAGCCTACCTACAGCTGCAGGCCTCAGACCTCTCTTCTAGGTGGCAGGCCCTTTAGCAGACTCCTCAGGCTCTGGGGGGCCAAGCACACTGGGAGGTAATCAGGTTGTTGCCAGGAAGACAGGGAGAGGGTCCCTTGCTCAGAGAGAGGCAAGGAGCCTCAGGTAGTACCAATCTAATGCAAGGGACAGTGAAGAGTGTTGCCAGGAAAAGATCCAGAGGAGTGGATCACAAAGTGACAGGCTGGACGTTCTGACCCTGAATGTCCCTGTTTCTGTTCACTAGCAGAGCAAACAGAAGCCCAGAGTCAGCAGTTCCCTCCCCAAAGTCACACGGCAACCAAAGAAATCTGTAATCTGCCCTCTATCCTAAGCCCTGAGTATCTTTAGGGAGGCAGCATGGGCAGTTAAAAGCCAGCACTGTGGAACTGGCCAGACACCAACTCAAATCCCAAGCACTCCTCGGACTGTGTCAACACAGAGATGATATTTGACCTGGTTCAACTTTGTAGAGATTTTGTGACGTTTCGGTGAGATAACACGTATTAAAGCCTGCACCTGTCACATACAGCGGGTGCCCAATCATTATTCATTCCTTCCTTTTCTGCTGCCACCTGACCCAACTGGAGATAATACTCATGTTCTAGGCCAGGGCAGAGCAAGCATGGTGTTGTGCCTCATTTCCGTACCAGAAATGGTGATGGCAGTATTTGTTTACTGAGTGAATGAAGGAGTGAAGGAATGATAAAAATCATAAACTCAAAAACTAGTTGCTTCTCAAAAGCAGCTGTGTGTCCTCCTTGAATCCCCAGTGCCTATATCAGGGCTGGCATGAACCATTTATGAGCAAAACATAATTGAACAGAACCTGTTCTAGCTGGCCTTCCTAGTCTGTGATGCCCCCACTGTGTGATTAGACTGGCTGACAGCTCTGTTTTTACACTCAGACCTTGGCCTCACTCTGGGCCTGGTGGCCTCCACACTGTGATGTACGTATGTTGTGTGTGTGCGCCTGGGGCTGACATTTGTGGGTACCTGTGTGTCTGGGTGTGTGTTGGTACACACAGGTGTCCATCTCTATGCATGTGTTTGACTTGTGCACATGAGCAGCTCGCATCCACTCTGTGTGGCTGTTGTGAATCTTTTTTCTGAGACAAAATCTTGGTCTTGTTGCCCAGGCTGGAGTGCAATGGCACAGTCTCGGCTCACTGCAACCTCCGCCTCCAGGATTCAAGCAATTCTCCTGCCTCAGCCTCCTGAGTAGCTGGGATTATAGGAGCCTGCCACCATGCCCAGCTCATTTTTGTAATTTTAGTAGAGACAGGGTTTCACCGTGTTGGCCAGGCTGGTCTCGAACTCCTGACCTCAGCTGATCCACCCACCTTGGCCTCCCAAAGTGCTGGAATTACAGGCATGAACCACTGTGCCCGGCCGTGAATCTGTCTTTATGGACATGTATCTGGGAATATGCCTCTGTGGCCCTGTGCATCTGTATGTGTCTGAGTCTACAGGTGTGACCACTTGTATCTGTGTGCCTGTTGGCAGAATTATAGGAATTCTACAGGTCTATGTGTGTGCATCTTTATACCCGGTTTTCTCAACCTCGGCACAGTTGACATTTGGGGTCAGATAATTCTTTGCTGTGAGAGGCTGTCCTGTTTAACATCCTCTACCTACTACATGCCAGTAGCAACCTCCCCTCCCTCCGCTCAAGTTTTGACAACCAAAAATGTCTCCAGACATTGCCAGATGTCCCCTGGGCAGGGAACATCCCTTCTGCTTCTCCCCTGTCCCCCATTGAGAGTCACCGCTGCATCTGAATCTTCCTGTGCGTTTGCGGGCATGTCCAGTATGTCTGTGTCTGGCCCTGTGGGTACCTGAGCTCATCTGTGGGTGTTCCTTATGTCTACACTCGGTAAGTCCCTATGTGCCCCATGCATTCTGCCTTGGATGTATGTCTGTATGTTCTTGTGCTTTCTGGATATATCTGTGGGTGTGCTGTACATGATACCTCATATGTGTGTCTGTGCGGGGACCCTGTGTGAATGGGCTTCGTCTGCCTCCGTGCATTCATCAGCCAGCACTTCTGTGAGCGTGTGTGTGTGTGTGTGTGTGTGAGTGCACGCGCATGAATGTGCAAGCACAGATGTGGTGAGCGCAGTGGGGGTGGCAGGCAGGGAGGGACAGGAACAGGGATATTAATGTTTCTGAAGTGGATCTGATTTGATACATCTTGTTCCATTGTCAGCATCTGTTTAGCGGGGATTTGTAATACTTTGTGGCTCTGGATCACTCATGCTTAGCGCAGGATGTGGCCTTGCATACCAATTTTGTTATTAAACACAGTCCTCGCCTCCCCCACAGCCCATCCATCACCTCCCACCCCAGCCCCCGCCTGCTCTGAGCTACCTACCATATTTCAGGGCCCAGCTCCCGCCCGCCTGCCGCGCCCGATGCCGGAGGGCCTGGGGCTGACGAATCAGGGGGAAATCATTCCTGGCCTAACACAGTTTGCAGCATGTTGGAGGGAGAATTGACAAGAGCCTTGTCAGCTCCATCACCTCAATCCCACAGGAGCTAAGGGTGGGCTGGGGACAAGGGGTGGACAGAAGGGGGCCTCCAGGACAGGCAGGATCTTCAGGGCTGATACCAGGAGTCAGGTAAAGCCCCCTTTCTTCAAAGCCACTAGGGAGTCGACCATGCCTAGTGTCTGTGTCTCCCTCCCAGGGGCCAGCACTAGCCCTTGGCCCATGAGAGAGACTGAGCTAGGCTGGGCCACTGGGATTGAAAGGAGTGGGTGGAGCTTGGCTGAGCTGGGCTGGGCTAGGCTGGCTATGCCTTCTCTGTCTTTGGGGTCTTCTTGCTACTCTACCCTTGCATGCCCTGTGCAGCAGGTAGAATGGTCACCCTGTTCTCTTCTTTCTTGGCAGCAAGAATTCCCTTCTGAAGGATGCCATGGCTCCAGGCACCCCCAAGGTAGGTGGCCAATTACATGTTTTCCTCCTGCCCATACTAACCTAGGCCTAACCAGAACTGGTTCCTCCTAAGAAAAAGGAGCTTTTCTAGTATCCTCAACTGTCTCCACCTTTTCTAGTGTCCTCAACTATCTCCAGGTCTTGAACATCATCCTGAGGCCTAGGGCTGTGCCATGTATGTGTGTGTGTGTGTGTGCGTGTGTGTGTGAGTAAGGGTATGCTCATCTAACTTCATCCTCTTCCAGCCAGGAGAGGGGTCAGAGTTAAGAATGGCCTGGGAGATGGGGGCGACCCAGACACTAAGGGTGAGAAGACTCAAAGGAAGAAAGTGAGCTACGGCAGATGAAGAAAAATAAAGAAATGGCCGGTGGCTTACACCTGTAATCCCAGCACTTTGGGAGGCTGAGGTGGGTGGATCACAAGGTTAAGAGATCGAGAGCATCCTGCCCAACATGATGAAACCCCATCTCTATTAAAAATACAAAAATTAGCTGGGCATGGTGGCACGTGCCTGTAGTCCCAGCTACTTGGGAGGCTGAGACAGGAGAATCGCTTGAACCTGGGAGGCAGAGGTTGCAGTGAGCCAAGATCATGCCACTGCACTCCATCCTGGCAACAAAGCGAGACTCCGACTCAAAAAAAAAAGAAATGCAGGTCAAGACAGACAGTGCAGGGCCCTAGAAGCCAAACTATGGGGGACAGGGTGGTGTGTGTGTGGGCCTAAAAGCCAAACTATGGGGGACAGGGTGGGGTGTGTGTGTGTGTGTGTGTGTGTGTGTGTGTGTACTTTGTCCTGAGAGCAACAAGGAGCCAAGGAAGAGGGTGGACTCATTTGGGGAGCCAGTCTGCCTCTCTGAACAAATCCTATGGGAGAAAGACTTGAAAGCATCAGATGGAGAAAGGAAAAATGAAGAGCAAGTATCTGGCTCAAAGGAGGGGCCAGAGGCCTTAGCACAATGACATCTGTACCAAGAGCTCCCCATAGATGGCCATAGACACAGTGGGTACTACTTCCCCAAAAGTGGTTTTGAAGGGATGGATACGAGGGGAGGAGAACCAAACCCTTACGCACTGAGTATCCCCTTCCCCACTCCTCAGTAGAAGGCTACATCCTTTTTCCCACAATTATTCAGAAAGGGAAGCCATCCCTGGCCCATTTTATAGGGAGTGAGGAGTGACTATGGAAGATCTGAGAATGGGTGGAATCAGTGAAGGAGAGTATGGAGAGATTAGAGCAAAAGCCAAGACGAGAATCTGGGGGCCTCCTGCACTTGGCATCAAGATAAGGTCCAGGAAGCAGGGAAGGAGACAGAGGGGAACACTCAGTGTGTTGGGAGGGGCGCAGGAGAGCATGGCATCTAAGGATCCTAAGGAAGAATGTTTCTAAATGTATCAGGTGGTCAGGAGTCAAACAGGGGAAGCCTGGAGAAGGGGCCCACTGCAGTCACTGGTGACGTCTAAGAGGGGAGTTTGGGAGAGGAGCCAGAGTGACAAGTATCACCCCCATGGGGTAGGCCCAAATGCCGGGCAAGCCTTTCAAAAGTGTGGGAATGGATCTTGCACTTTCGTTTAGAAAACGGCTCACCTGCAGCAAGCTGAGAGAGGAGGAGCAGAGCGCCTAGCCCAGCCTTGGGTGGGTGTAGGCCTTGGCCAAGGAGGCAAAGCGCCAAAGAGAAAGGAGGGCAGGGGAAGGGGCAGCAGGCAGCTGCAGACTCACAGAGGTAGGGAGCTATACTCACTGAGTGTGGCCCAGCCTGCAGCATTCAGTGGTGTGTTTCAGGAAAGTCACAGACAAGTTTCCAAGTCCACCACCACAGGTGACATCTGACACCTGAGCATGGCTGGCAGGACTGGGGACTTGGACATCAGTAAGGCCTGTAGTCTAAGGACAAACCCCTGGCAGACACAATATACCTCCATCCCTAGCTCCCCACATATGCAGACCCATACACACACTCAGGTCAGAATACAAACACAGGAAGTCTTAAACGTGTGTCCTGAAACCACAGACGTAGGTATACTGACCATCAGACACAGAGACAAGGGACACTTGCTCACCTACTTCCAGATATATGCTCACACCCCCAAAGCTGAGCAGTTCAGGGTCTATCCCTGGCCTTGACCTAGGCTTTAGGAAAGCAGGTCATGAGTGGAAGAGGCGAGAGAGAGAGAGAAGGTTCAAGCAAGAGACTGAAAGGACAGGGAGAAGGAGGGAGGGAGGAGGAGGAGAGGGTGAGGGGCCTTTGACAAGATTGATGGCCTCGTTGCCATTAAGAAAAAAATTAGCCGGTGGCGGCTATCATATTAAAGGGTGAAGAAGCCGTGAATTATTTTCTTAAAGATCTTATCGCTTACAATGATAATTTTACCTTCCAAAAGGCCACTTTTAATGAGGCGAAGAGCCAGGCAAAAAGTCATGATTTAATGCCGGGATTTTTTTTTTCAAAACACATTTTACTGCTTTTTGGTCCATGTTTAAAAAGCGCCAGTGACCTTTTTTTATTCCGCTTGCCCCAGGTGTAATGCTGAGGCCTCTCAGGGCTTCTAACCTAGAGAGAATGAGAGAGAGAAAGCGCACAAACATGAGCTTTCTCTTGGGCCGGCGGTCGGGGTGACCCACACTGTTTCCCCTCCTTAGCATCTTCCTCGGGACCAAAGAAGGAGAAGAACATTGCCTGAGAGCACCTCCTTTCTGAGCTGGGGGCTGGGTCACCCAAGAGGCCTCCCACTGGGCTTGGGTGGGTGAAGAAGGAGCTCTAAGTTGCAGAGAATCCCGCGCAGGCTCTTTCCAGCATCTTCTTTCCTCCAGCTCCTGGGGTGTGGGCAAGTCAGGGAGCCCTGCCAGACCAGCAGCTGTCTCTTCCCTTTCCAGGGCACTTGCCTGAGGATGCGCAGCGTGGCCACCGCATGCGGGTCACATCCTAAGGCTCAGCCAGAGATGAAGGATAAATGGCTGCTCCATCTTTCCCAAATTGCTTTCTTTGGCCTGTCACTGGCGATTTGGTGTGGTTTTCTAAGCTAGGGAGGACTCCTAGGGAATTGTGTGCTTCCGGCTCAGAGCTTACAGGCTGGGGAACGTGGGGGGAGGAAGTATGGATTGCTTTCAGGCCTCCAGGCCCCCAGTTTGCAGCTGAACAGGCCTTGGCAAGAGCTGGCTCTTAGGCAGAACGTGCCATGTGGTATTTAGAATTGTGGTGCTCGCACACATTTCAAGCAGACAGTTTATTAATCTAAACTGCAGGCATATGTGGAAGAGGCCATACAAGATTGACATGGGGGGATTAGTTTTGCTGGGGTTTTTGCTAGGTTCATCACCGTAGCACCGGGATAAATGGACCAGCGTACATCCCTAGCTGCAGGTGAGAAACTCACATACTATTTAATTTACTGTCTCCATTGTATGGCTGCCATCAGCCTGTATTAAGGGCAGGCAGGGTAGCGGGTATATAGCTTTATCCCCAACCCTTCATGGGGATCCTAGCATCTTTGCTCTCCAAGGGAAAACAAAGCATATATAGTCTCCACTGGGAGTGGACTGGGAGTCCTGCCCCACTGGGGCAGAGATTAGCCTAAGCAGGGTCCCTCGGGCAGTCTCTACTCATCCCTAAAACCAAGCCATCCTCTCTCACAACCACACTCCCAGGACTCGACACCATGCCTTCAGAATCTCAAGAGTGGTCCTTCTATCCCTCAGCCTCCTTCTCTTTGCCTGGCTCCCCAAAGCTCCACGGGACTGGGAACCCGAGGGACTGACTGTAGGTCTCATTCAGCCTGAGGCCACATGTCCTTTTTCTTCTTCCAGTCCCTCCTGTTGTCTGCTTCCATCAAGAGGGAAGGAGAGTCTCCAACAGCATCACCCCACTCATCTGCCACTGATGACCTCCACCACTCAGACAGATACCAGGTGAGGAGGGGTGGCGGGTGGCCGTGAGAAGCAAGCTGTCCTGGGGGAGACCTTCAGTGGCATGCCTGGTGCTAATTCCTCCTCTTCCCCACAGGCCACAGGAGAGTCCTGAACTGTGTTTCGTTCCCTTTGTGTCGAGTGCCCCTAAATGAACTCAGGAGGCATAGGTATCAGAGAACAGGCCTTAAATAGATGGATTTTAGGGAGAGATGGTCACATGAGCTCTGAGTACCTCTGAATCATTCTGTCCATCAGGAAGTATCCTATGGGGTTTGGTTTCATGAGAGACCCAGATACATAGCCCAGAATCACCTGAAGATTTTAGACTTCAAAAGCACAATACCTTAAGCAAATAACCATTCAATTCCGTCAAACCTTGATATCAGGCCCAGATGGAGAGACAGGTAGACACTGCCTGTGAGTGTCTTGGGCAAATAGGAAGGGAGTCATCACACAGTCCTATAAGCTCAGAGCAAAGGGGCCTAAGGGGAGCATCTTAGCTATAGATGGACATTCTCTGGAGTAGGAAGGGCTTCCCCCAAAACTTTTATCTAAGGAGAGACAGAGCCCAGCCTTTGAGAACCCCAGAGCCATCAGATGAAAGAAAACAGAGGCTGTTCCACAGAACATTTGTCTAAATAGCAACGGGGTTTCTCAGGGAGGCTCAGTGTGAGAAGGAAAGAACAGCCCTGATCTGATATGGAAAGACAGGGCTGCAGGGACCTGTAAGCTGGAGTAGAGAAACAGGGGCCCTGCTGGCACACCAGAGCCCTGGGTGGGAATTAGGGAAAGGAGTTCTCTCTGCACCCCTTCCTTCCAGCTGACACAGCCTGGCCTGGCACAGGGTGCACAGCTTGGAGAGTAGAGTGCCCAGCATGGCTGGACACAGCCTCTGCCGAATGCCTTCGCATGGGACTCAAACTGCGTAGCCCAAAGTGCAAGCCCTGGGAAAGGATCCCTGCTCTCTCTAAGGGAGCCCTAGTTTCAGAGAGGAAGCCCAATAAACCCCTGGGAGACACTGCCCTGATCCAGACAACCCCAGGGAATTCTGATCTGAGAGGGAACAGAGACAAGGCTTTGTTCCAGAGCATTCTGGTCCAGAGGAATAGACAGAGGCCTGCCTTCAGAGGTCTATCCTCTGTACTTCACTCACAGCATGTGCCTTGCCATCTGTTGAATTAGGAAAGAGTAACCATCACGCAACAATGCCTCAACTCCCTGATCCACCTTCCTCTCCACAAATGTCAGTATTTCTTCTATCTCCTAGAGACTATGAGGAAAGCTACAGACGCTCTTGCCTAAAAATATATACATATGGCCAGGCATAGTGGCTCATACCTCTAATCCCAGCACTTTGGGAGGCTGAGGCAGGTGGATCATGGGGTCAGGAATTCAAGACCAGCCTGGCCAAGATGGTGAAACCCCATCTCTACTAAAAATATTAAAAAATCAGTCGGTGTAGTGGCGGGTGCCTATAATCCCAGCTACTCAGGAGGCTGAGGCAGAGAACTGCTTGAACCCAGGAGGCCGAGGTTGCAGTGAGCTGAGATTGCGCCACTGCACTCTAGCCTGGGAGACAGGGCAAGACTACATCTCCAAAAAAAAAACACGTTTCTACTTACCACACAGGCACACACACATGCAGTATTATACATACAACTTCAGGAAGTTAGGAAAGCTGTAGAGCCCATCTCAGTACCACTTAGAGATCTCTGAAGCCCAGGTTAAGACCCAAGACCCTGTTCTAGACTCTAAGCACACCTCCTTAAGGACAAGCCAAGCTAGGTTGTGTTCTACAAGATAAACACCTTAACACGGCAGCAAGGCCTTCTGTGTTGTAGATTCAACCTGTATTTCCAGCTTCCATTCCAAATACAGTCCTCCATGAATCCTACAGGCTATGCTCACTGAACTCACAACCACTCCCAATGCTAACCACTCCCTGGATGAGGCATTCCTTTCTTGCCTCCATGTTTTTTCACATGCTATTTCTTCTAACGGGACTGTTTTACCCCACTCCATCAAATTTCTATTTGTCCTTCCAAATCCTGCCCCAAAATCATCTTGTCTAGGAAGCCTTTCTGGATTAGTTATCTCATGACCCTTGTGTGTCGTGGTTATTGCCCCATCACCCTATATTGTGATCATCTATTTAAGTATGTTTCAGTTACCTACAAACATCCCAAACCTTGGTGGCTTCACACAACTCATTATTTATGATTCTGTGGGTTGACTGGGCATTTCCTCACTCATGCAACTTATTCATCCTAGAGGGCTGGCTGGGCTGGAAAGTTCAAAATGGCCTCACCACATGTTTGGGAGACTGGGTGTCTTGGTTCTCTTCCGTGTGGCCTCTCATCTTCCAGTATGTTCAGTCAGCTTTCTTACTTAGCAGTCTCAGGGCAGTGTCACACCAAGAGGGTGAACACCAAAGCTGCAAGGCCTCTTGAGGCCTAGAATCTGGAACTCACACACCACTTCCACCACTTTCTATTAGGCAAAGCAAGTGGCAAAGCTAGCCCATAATCAAGGGATGAGGAAATGCAGCTCTTGATAGAAGATGCAAATAATTCCGGCCATACTTAATCTTTCACAATGAATCTGACTCCATTAGACTTGGAGTTTCTCCAAGGCAAGGACCTTGTCTTATCCTTCCTTTACTCAAACATTTATCTAGTACTCACTCATGCTCAGCTGTGTCCTTGCCTTCAAGGGGTTAGATTTGCAAATAGATAATTATGGTCCAGTGTTTCAAGGACTATGACAGGAGTACAAATAAGTTTCTAGGGGCCAGGCACAGTGGTCATGCCTGTAATCCCAGCACTTTGGAAGGCCAAGGTGGATTGCTTGAGGAGTTTGAGACCAGCCTGGGCAACATGGCAAAACCCCATCTCTACTAAAAATACAAATAATAATAATAACAATAAATAAGTTTCCAGGATACCACAGTAGAAGAAGGGAAAATCAGAGCAAGCTTCACACAGGAGGAAATGACTGAAAAGGGACTCAGAGAAGGAATAGGAGTTCTCTTGGTGGACAAGGAAGAAAGGGTACTCCAGATAAAGGCAACACTATGTACAGAGAACATAGAGGTGTAGCAGAATGATGTATCTGGGACCTGCTAGCAGTCTGGTTTAGTTAGAAAGTAGAATTCAAGAAAAGTCAGTAGATGAAGCTGGAAAACAACCCAGGAACTAGCTGGGTATCCCATTCCTTGCTCTTTACACAATGCCTGGCATGTAGTAGTTGCTCAGCTGTGTTGGATTTTTAACATCACTGAGATAGGCCTTGAAAGCAGGGGGTATTGGATTCTGGGTTTTGTTTTTTATAGAGGCAGGGTCTCATTATATTGCCCAGGCTGGTCTCGAACTCCTGGGCTCAAGCAATCCTCCTGTGTTGGCCTCACAAAGTGCTAGGATTAAAGGCATGAGCCATCGTGCCCAGCCTTGGTTTCTGGTTTGAATTCTCATTTACTTAGCCCCTGCTGACTAACCCTCTTTATCATTGCCTCACTTAAACCTCATAGCGACTGTATTCATCAGCCCCAATGTATTACCAAGGAAACAGGACTAGAAAGGAGAAGTGACTTTTCTAAGAACATATAAATTGTAAGTAACAGAGTTAGGACTTGAACTTGAGTCTGTTTGGCCCTAAATCCGAGATTATTTCCCAGCCCATCACTGGGCTCAGGACTTATAAAGTCTTTCTCCCCTTACCACTGATGTCTCCTTCATGCAAGACACTGTGCTGGTAAATGGCTAGAGATGACCTCCAGGTACAAGGGACAGATATGTAAACGAATAGTCAAAATATACATGATCAGAGAGAAGCAGTGGAACTGCGAAAACTCAGAGGAGGCAACAAACCCAGGCCTGGGCGAGAAAACTACGTCTTGCCAGAGTCCTAAGGGATGAACAGCAGTTAACCAGGCAGAGGATACTGGAGGGCACGGAGGCTTTCTGGCCTGGAGTCCAGAGTATGGAGTGCTCAAAGAGCTACAGTTAGCTCTGCAAAGCTGAGTGTCAGGAGTGTAAAGGGAGAGAACAGGAGTGGAAGAAGAGTCTGGAGAGGCAGAAAGGGCAGGCCTGTATGTCAGGTTGCAGATCTCGCTGGAGAACCACTGTAGGATTTGAAGAAGGAGAGGGTTAATTTTGCCCGTTAGAAAGATCACATTGTGTGTAGTGTGGAGGGGGGGTTGCTGAGAGAGAAGCTGGAGACCAAAAGACGAGACGGGAAACAGCTGCAAATTTAGAGCGCTCATAAGATTATGTATGAACTGGAGCGCAACGACAACCAAGGTAGGTACAGCCATGGAAGAAAAACTCAGGGCTGACCTGCCTATGCCAAGCACCACCCTGGGCTCTGGGTTCGCCTAGACAACTCACACACGCCCCCAACCCTGAAGTGGTCAGTCCACTGATAAAAACTTACACAGGCGATAAGGGCGCAGAGATGGATGTACCCTGACATAAGGAAAGGCTATTTTTCAGTTAGACATGGAAGGATGAGTAGGAGATACAGAGGTGGAGATGGAAAACTAGAGACCTTTCAAGGTAGACTTTCAGGATCTAGAAAAGGATTGAGTGTGAGGGATGGAGACGGTAGGGTCAAGGGAGACTCTCAACTTTCCTCTGTGGGCACACCTTAGATAGTGGCTTCCTCTTACGAATAGGGAACGCAAGACGAAGGCGTCTGTTTGGAGGATACCGAGTTCAGTGTTGGCTGTGTGGGTATGCAGTGCCTATGGGAGCTCCAGGGGCCGTGCAGCAGACAACTGACAAGTTGGGAGTCCTCTAATAACAGAACCGAATAGCCTAGGGGTTGGGCGGGGATCACCCATGAACAATCCGGAATTCCAACCCCTGGCCCCTTACAAAGCGGCCAACGTGATGCCTCTGCCCTGAGGGCAGCCGCGCGGAAGGCAGGCGTAGAAGATGGGAGCCCGCAGCCGGGGCCCGGCGGTGGGGCGGAAGAAGCCCTGCAGCGGAAGGGGGCGTGGGGTGGGGTGGGGTGGAAGGACTTCGCAGCCGCTAAAGCTGGAGTGGGTGGGTTTCACGGGCGGTGGGAGGGACCCTGGGGAGGCTCCTGCCGGTTGCTACCGGAGTACAAGCGGCAGCTTCCTGGTCTTGGTCCGGCAGCCCGAGCCGCATCGTGAACTTTCACCCCCAGTGCGCGACGGCGGCAGGTCACGTGATCAGGGCCAACATGGCCGCCGCCGCCGCTGGGAGCTGAAGTGCCGCCGCCGCCGGGCAGCCGGGGGGAATCCGCCCGCATCGCCGCCCTCGCCGGCCTCGCGGCCGTGGAGCCCAGAGCGCCGGAGGCCGGGGTTGGGGCGGCACCGCGCAGCGGCCACGGGGTCCCGTTAGAGCAGCCCCCGGCGGCTATGCCGAGAGCCCGGAGCGGCCGGCGGAGCAGAGGGGCTGGCGGGAGGGAGGAAGTAGGTTTGTTTACGGGCTGTTTGGGGCGGAGCAGGCTTGGTCGGGGGTCCGGTGCTGGGGCGGGGGCCAGGACTCCAGGCTGCACCTGACGCTCTCTTCTTTCCTTGCATCTGCCCGCAATCTTTTCCCAGACCTTTCTGCGAGTGCGAGCCAACCGGCAGACCCGACTGAATGGTGAGTCCTGCCCGGCCCCTCCCTCCGCCCCACCCCCGGCCTCCTCCCTCCCTCACTGCCTGCAGCTTCTGGCTTGCCTGGGTCTCTTCGACTTTGGGGCCCATTGGCTTCTTCGCAATCACAGCGCCTGAGTATGTGCTAACCAAAGCTGCCGTCCTCAGTTTCCCCGTCTGTCTAATGGAGGTATGGCTCCCAGCTCTTGCCCAAACCTGTCTAAAGGCCCCGAAGAACCCTGGGGGGCAATAAGTGCCGGAGAATGAGGAACAAGCTACACAATTCTACTCGGGAGCTCAGCTTTGAATTTGCAAACTGCTGGGACCTCACTATACAAACCTGCAGGGCGCTGAGAATGTTTTTCTTCCAGTTTTTAATCAGTGCCCAGTAGTGTGAATACAGCCTCTCTGCTGAGACTTGACAATACAGTGAGATCTGGAGTTCCCACGGCAACAGGAACTAACTCATCCCAGGGCTCTTTGAGTTATCAGTCGGCCCACATTTCACAAAGGTGATCAGCGTGGGCTCGACAGCTCTTAGAGGCCTTCTCTGAAAGCAGGCTGTGTATGCACTACCTGGCAGCCCCACTTTTGGATTCAAACCACTGGAGCATTCCTGTTTGCCGAATACAATTGAATGATCCTAGCTTTTTGTGCTTACCGGGGTGTGATATCTGGGGGTTGGCTGTAAGGGGTTAAAGGTCTCTGGGCCAGCTGGTAAGTGAGAGAGGCCACGGAGTTCAAGATCCCCAGCTCTTACCACTTGGTTTCTGCTGCCAGGCTGAGCCCTAGTCTGGAAAAGGGAGAACATTCGTGATGGGCTGGCGCCATGTTAAGCACCATTCTCACTTCTCACAACACCTCTGCGAGGAGTACTACACACCTTTTGTGAATAACAGACTGCGAGAGGTGAAAGTGGTGTGTTTAAAAGCACACAGCTGGGATGTAACTGAGCCATGATTCAGTTGAAGTTTGTTTCTCACCAAAGCCTGTGTTTCTCCAACCACACCATGCTACCTCCTTGGCAAATGCATTGATTCTTCCTACTCATACGTAGCCTCTGGATAGAGACCAAAACTTCCCCTACCACACTTTAGTAAGCTTAGTTCAGAAGTTAGCAGATAATGGGAAGGTAAAAACCAAACCTGCCTTGCTTCTCTGAGAATTTCCAGATGAAACCCAGTCCATCAGGGTGCTTTCCAGGGAGAATGGATCGTCTGCTTGCCTGTGTGTCCTAAGCAAGGAGTGCATCCAGTATTGTGCCTTTCTTGACCATTCCATGAGATTTGTTTCCTTATCCAGTCATTGAACATTGTGGTATCATCAGCACCAGGGGGGCATTCCCTTGGATTCTAGGCATGGTAGGGGAGGAAGCTTTGTGTTGGCACACTGCTTTATACTACACTTCTTGAACTCTCAGAGTCCTTTGCTCAATGCCTTTCTGATGTTTCACATCCATTCTTGGTCCCAGCCCTGGTTCTAGAGTGTCAAGGCTACCTAAGTCTGAGATTCTAAGAGTTAGGGCAGCCAAAGTGAAGAGTTGGATCTTTGTCCACAAAATCAAGTGGGGCACTAGGACACCGTCATGTCACCTATAGTGAAAACAGGAAATTGAAGAGATGGACTGGGTCTCTTCTCTTTGGGTCTGTATGCTCAGTTCTGGCAGGGTGGTAGCTTTCCTTTTGGTTTGGGTCTTTCTGGGGTCACTCTGTTTTGGAGTTGGAGTAGCTCCCTGCCTCAGACTCAGAACAGGCAGGCGCTGGAGCCATAGCACACTCACTGGGTTCAGTGTTTGTTGATGCTGCTCAGTTACAGGGTCCCCTTGGAACAGGAGGTCTTTCTCGGCTATGAAGTCAGGCCTGGTTTCCTATCTTGCCTTTGCCACTTTTTGACTACTTGGACACGTGCCTTGATCTAAGCTTCGGGTTTCTTCATCTGTTAAGATGGAATAATGCAGTCTAACTTCACGAAATGGTAGTAAATGAGCTGCCTTGTGTAAGGTACTTGGCTGTGAGCCTGACACACAGTAGAAGCTCTAAATTGTAACATACCAGCTCTCACCTGTGTTCTCTTCGTAGATTGCATTCGTGAGCTTCCCATCAGGGTCACTCTCCATGAGAAAGTTCTTCCTGGTCCTGCATTGGGGAACCTTTCCCTCCTTGGCTAGCTGTACCCACTCCCCATCCATCTGGTCCCAGAGTAGCCATCTCTGATCTTGCTGTGGCATTCTGGAAGGGACTAGAGGGAACAGAGTTTCTTGTTTTGACCCCTTCCTGCTTCAGTGACAGGAGGGCTGCAGAGAGGGATTAGTGAGCTAATTAGAAATGATTGCATCGCTCAGCATTAATTAGCAGTGCCGTGGGCTTGCAGTGTGCACTTTGGAACTGAGCCCCCTGCGGGACAACATGGCAGGCAGCCCTCTGCCTCCAGGGCCTGCCAGCCCCTCTGTACTGATTAGAAATGATGGAACAGGTTTGGGTGGGCACAGTAAGGGCTGCCTTCTCAGGGTTCCCTGAGCCTTCTGACCCAGCTGCCAAAGGTCTGACCCAGACCCTCTTACCTTTATGACTGAGCCTCAGTCTCCTCTTCTGTAAAATGGGATTTGTGGACATCAAGAAATTCTTCCTGGTGAGATTCTAGGTGGGATGCTAGAAGCTGTACCTCCAGGTTCTTGGCCCAGGAACAAAAGAGGTTTTAGTTGATGAGTGAACGGCCGGCCAAGTTAGGTCACTGGAGGGACCTTAGGTTCTGGCCAAGAGATACTCTTTAGAGTTGTATTTTCTGACACCAAAAGAGCTCATGGTCTTGGCCTTCTGGATTGAGACCTAGCAACATGGAGTGTCTTTGCCCATTGGACTCTTACTGAACATGGCCGATAGAAAGGTATGGGTAGACCTTGCACCAGCTGTGGCCAAAGAGTGGACCTACTCCCTGGCTTAGTTAGCACCAGTCTCCTCCCCAGGTGCTCTTGGCAAAGCCCAGTCCCCAAAGGAGCAGGAGATACTTCAAGATGAGGGCCAGGGGGCCGGGCGCGGTGGCTTACGCCTGTAATCCCAGCACTTTGGGAGGCCGAGGCAGGTGGATCACGAGGTCAAGAGATCGAGACCATCCTGGTCAACACAGTGAAACCCCGTCTCTACTAAAGCTACAAAAAATTAGCTGGGCATGGTGGCGCGTGCCTGTAATCCCAGCTGCTCAGGAGGCTGAGGCAGGAGAATTGCCTGAACCCAGGAGGCGGAGGTTGCGGTGAGCCGAGATCGCGCCATTGCACTCCAGCCTGGGTAACAAGAGCGAAACTCTGTCTCAAAAAAAAAAAAAAAAGATGAGGGCCAGATCAGACACTGAATAAAAAGGCTAATGGCTGGCAAGAGGTCAGGATGTGTCAGCTCCACTGGGACCCTGGGGGCTATGGTGACCGCCTGCTTGTTCTGTGCTTTGTTTTCGGTTTCTTCATGCAGCTCGGATTGGGAAAATGAAACGGAGGAAGCAAGATGAAGGGCAGGTATGTCCCCTGTGCAACCGCCCCCTGGCAGGATCGGAGCAGGAGATGAGTAGGCATGTGGAGCATTGCCTTTCTAAGGTAGAGGGGCCATCACCACCCACCTTCCTTCCCTACCCCCTTCCTCCGACACTAGCTGCTGACTGCCCCTGAATCTGTGGGCTCTTGGGGTCTCCATGTGGTCTCAGCAGCTTCTTCCCTTCTGTCCACTGTGCTTTCCCCCTGCTTTCACTCTCACTCATTCCCCCCTTGGGCTCTAGTGGAAAACTATTGGGAAGACGACCAGGCCTTTGACCTCTAAATTGGTTTGCTTCAAAGGAGCCCTAGAGCTGAGGGCCCATTTGGCACACCACAGCTAAGGCTAGAGCTGTGCCTTTGTTGCAGACTCTGGGGAGCAGGTGGGGAGGCCTGGGCCCAGCATGATCCTGCTCTGCTCTTCACAGAGGGAAGGCTCCTGCATTGCTGAGGATGATGCTGTGGACATCGAGCATGAGAACAACAACCGCTTTGAGGAATATGAGTGGTGTGGGCAGAAGCGGATACGGGCCACCACTCTCCTGGAAGGTGGCTTCCGAGGTACAAGCAGCTGACACATAGACAGTGGCACTCTGGTGCCAGGCCTCTGCTGGGTATCCCTCTGTTGGGAGCCAAAAGGCTGAGGCTGGTGGCTGGTCATCCCTCCTTTCTACCACGTGGGAACTGCTGCTGGTGGGGCTCCTTTGTGACCGTGCTGCCTGCCTGTGATGTGCATATTAAAATGGATGTATTTGGGTGGGGAAATGGAATTGTGAGGCTGCAAGCTAGGAATGACGAGGGGGGCTCTCAGCCTCGGGTGATGCATTGAAGGTGACAGCCAAGCCGCGTTAGCACCTGCATAAAATATTAAAGGGACGGTTATGCATTTATCACTCCATCCCTCTTAAGGCTGATAAATGAGAATCCAGCAACCTGCTATACACCTCCAGCACTGGGGGCCCTGAGGGCTTCCAGGCAAACACATTGGATTTTCCTCCTCCTCCTCTTCAGCCCTATGTCAGGGAAATCAGTTACAGAGGAGAGAGTGAGTTATGGCAAAATTTGACCTCCCTTGAGCTTCATTGGTGAATCTAATTTTAGCTCTGATCCCATCCCTTCTCCCTGGGCGCCCTCTGCCCTGAAGCAAGAGGGGCCTGGACCCAGCTGCTCCCTGCTTCCCTTGGGCTCTCCCCAGTTGCCACAAAGGAGTGTGCAGGGCCTGCCCATCTCTAGTGCCCTCCCAGCTTCTTGGAGGGGCAAGGCTTGGCACTCCCCACCAGGTTAGACAGCAGAATTGGTTGGGTACCCAGGGTCAATGTCGTCTTGTTAAACTCCCCAGCCTTGGGCAGGGGAAGGGGGAGCTGTCTGCCTCTTGGCCTCCAGCTCTTCTCTGTTTCTGTGCACGAGCACAGCTGGTACTGCAGCTTGTGGTCATTAAGTGAGCCAATCTGCTTCCCGTCTGCCTCTGTTCTCTGGGCAACACCTTTGGGAGTACTGCTGTGTATGGTCCCTGGGGAATCTCACAGCAGCTGGGAAGGAGTTCTCTGCCTCCTTGGGGCCATGCTACCTGGGCGGGTGCTGAGGAGTGGTCTCTGCAGGGCAGTCCAGTGCAGACTGGCTCCACGAAGGGGCTGAGAGCCCAGATGGGACATTATGCCTTTGGGCCTCTCTCACATTACCCAAGCGTTTGGGGGCAAGCCAATACATAAATCAGGAAGGTTAGTCGGATCAAACTGTCTCCCTGAGCCAGAGCTGGAGAGCGTTAATATGCCATTTCACTCATCCTGTACTGGAGCCTTAAAGTGTCTGAGGCCCTGGAAGAGTCAGCAGCAGAGCTGACGATCATCTGTCCCATGAGTTGGATGCAGGGGTGTCCGGTGCTGCCGTGCAGGGTCAGTTCCAGCGTGCCGCTCTGGGTTAGCTCTGTTGGCAGCTGCAACTGCTCACATCTTCCATTGCTGTGGCAACTTCTTAGGTTCCTTGGCATAGACCTGGGCCTAATGGCTTCTGGGCACCAGACAGGGCTTGCAGAGGATAAAGCTGCAAAGGGCCTGCTGATTTGACAAAGTATTTCCCCTGTGCTGGGATGCACTTGCAGAGCAGTGTGAAGGGCTCTTAGGCCCTGGGCGGGTATCCGTTTTCCCTGAGTGTTTACACTGTGAGGTTGTTCCTTTCAAGAATTCCTGAGGGGAGTTCAAAGGGGGCTTTTCTTTGAGCGATTTGGAGAGCGAGAATGAGAGTGAGACTTGAAGAGGGAACAGGGGCCGGAGGTGCCTTTATCTGCAGAGAATTGCTCCAGCTTTCCTGATAGAAGCTGCTGCCGCCTCTTAAACAGCTTAGTGCAGTCAAAAGACAGGCAGACTTGAAAGGCTGTTTTACAGTGAGATCAGCGGGGGCCACGAGGCAGAGAGCGGGGCACAGTGGAGCGGAGGAGGCAGGCTCCTCGGTGGGGGGGCTATCAAAGGGAGGCCCTGGCTGATCCCTACTGCCTCTGCCCCCAAAGTCCTGTCTGCAAAAGCTGGCCATCTGTCAGCCTACCCTCCCTGACCAGGACCGATAGCCTTGACTCTTGGGGGGCTGGGTGTGGCCCCACCGGGCGGGCTGGTGTCAGTGCAGCGCATTGATCGCCCGCCGGGCGGGCCGGGCCGCAAGCCGGGCAGCGCGTGCTTAATGTGATTGAAAGGCAGTTAAAATGGCGGTGACCTTTTCAGGAGGAATTAGATTGCCTGCCAAGACCGGTTAGAGGGAGTGATAACGCCAGCTGAAGAAGCTGCCCAGCCGACTTCAGAGAGAGGGAGGCAGAGGCAGGATGAGCAGGCTAGTGGCGAGGCCCATTTAAACTGCGCTGTGCATGCTGACAGAACAGAGATTGCTGTCCTTGTTAGAGATGAAAGAAGTGAAGAATTGCAGATAAGTTCCTGTATCCCATCATCCCCATCCCTCCTCCCAGACTAGGGCCCCTTCATCATCCTCAGCAAAGCTTCCCACCAGGCCCCCTGGGGTTGGTCTGATGGATCACATGGGTTACCTCAAATGTAATCTGCTGTGGGAAGCAGTGAGCAAGCAAGAGTTTCGGTTGAGACACTTGGCTGAGGGGAACAGCCTTAGAGATGGTGACCTGGGGTTACTGAGGAGAAGCTCCAGATAGCTCGGATTGGTATTTTAGGACAAAATAACTAAACAGAACAGGTGAGCACTGAAGTAGGTCCCACTGGAGTTAGATTTTTGAAAAGACTAAAGGAAATAGGTTTTATTTCAAGAAAGTAAGTTGGAAGGAATTTTTGCTGCCTTGGAGGCACTTTGGCCTTCCCAATTCTAGAAGAAATACTTCAGCTGTGTGCCCAAGCTGTTGATTGTCCTTTCAGAACCATAGATTTTCTTTTTTTTTTGAGACGGAGTTTTGCTCTTGTTACCCAGGCTGGAGTGCAATGGCGCGATCTCGGCTCACCGCAACCTCCGCCTCCTGGGTTCAGGCAATTCTCCTGCCTCAGCCTCCTGAGTAGCTGGGATTACAGGCACGCGCCACCATGCCCAGCTAATTTTTTGTATTTTTTTTTTAGTAGAGACGGGGTTTCACCATGTTGACCAGGATGGTCTCGATCTCTTGACCTCGTGATCCACCCGCCTCGGCCTCCCAAAGTGCTGGGATTACAGGCTTGAGCCACTGCGCCCGGCCAGAACCATAGATTTTCTAACCTGCTCCTGCTGTTTACATAAAGGGCAGAACGCAGAGCCTAGTGTGTCCCCAACATTCCACTAAGAGATCTGCAGTTAGGGAAAAAAGATGCTTTTCCTGGGCACCATGGCAAACCTGGGCAGGACAAGGGGCATCTGGGCTAGAGAAGCAGACCACAGGGGAAACCTAACTATACAGCCCTTAAGACAATCCTGCTTCCACTTGTAGTCTAAGGAGGTGTGTGACTCAGGAGCCATGCCTTTCCTCTCTTGTCCTCCATCTGGCTCCTGGATCCTGGAGAAGAGGCCTACGTGGTGAGCCGTGGTCCCTCCTGTGTGTTGGTTTCCAGTGAGAGTTCACCCAACTGCATTTGAGGAGCCAGAGCTCCTCATATCTGGAAGGGACATGCTGGAGAGAGGACGTGGGAATGATTGGTTTCAAGTCAGGTGGCAATGATGTGGGCATAAGAGTGGTGAGATGGAGGAATTTCCCAGGAAGCTTCACAGGATATGGAAGCCTGCAACTGTATCTTTAAGCCCTGGAGGTGAATGCATTTCTAAAATCCAGCATGAAGCCCCTTTGAACCAAACAGGTGGAGTGAGTAGGGAGGAAAAGGGTGTTAAGACAGTCAGCAGTGCATGGTGTCTGCCCTGTCCAGATCCTGACCTGAGGTGTTTCTTATCTTTCATGAGTTCCTTAGATATAAGCTGCTTCCAAGTAGCTGAATGAGAAATCATGAAGCAAACAGGCAGAGCAGTTTTGGCACAAATCTTTTTTTTTTTTTGAGACAGAGTCTCACTTTATCTCCCAGGCTGGACGCTAGAGTGCAATGGCACAATCTCACCTTACTGCAACCTCCACCCGTCAGGTTCCAGAGGTTTTCCTGCTAGCCTCTCAAGTAGGGGATTACAGCATGTGCAACCATGCCTGGCTAATTTTTGTGGTTTTAGTAGAGATGGGGTTTAAACATGTTGGCCAGGCTGGTCTCAAACTCCTGGCCTCAAGTGATCCACCTGCCTTGGCCTCCCAAAGTGCTGGGATTACAGATGTGAGCCACCACATCCAGCCTGACACAATCTTTTATCTGGCTATTTCTTGATAAAACTTCAGTGCCAGAAGTATGAGGCAAGCGGGTAAGAGGTGTTGTAAGCCCCAGGGCATGGGCACATAGGCCTTGCCCTAGCTGCTGCCTCCTTTGGTGTGCCAGTTCTCCAGAGAAGGGAGCCCCAGGTGCTAATGTCCCCCAGTGTAGCTGTGCTCCTAGTCCCAGCCAGTGGCAGGTGTTGGAACAGCACACTGCTCGAGGCGGCCTTGGAGTGGAGAGGGCTGGGCTGCTGCCCTCTGACTCCCCACCACCTTCAGTTATCTCTGTCGCCTGTTGGGAGGGGTGAGGAGAGGTGCAGGGCACCAAGGAGCAAGGCACCTTCTGTCCCCTGTGGCAGCTGACGGGACTTAATCGCCTTTTGGAACACAATTGTTAAGCTAGGACAGAGGGAGTGCAGGCAGAAGGAGCAGGTATCAATGGTTTTAAACGGCGTCTGTCTCTCTGCGTCTCTCCTGACGTGAGGCAGTGAAACACGTTATCGAGGAGGCCCGGAAAGTGGCTAAGTGCGTTTGACACACGCCAACTCCCTGCCTCCACACTGGATAATTGCATTGTCAACTGTTCAGCGAGGTGGCAGGTGACACTGCAGGCCGATTGATTGTCCCGCATCACAGCTCCCCAGACTGTCAGCTCCCCAATCGATGGCGTTTACACAAGACACCGTAACTGCATCTGTAACTAATTCCAGTGTAAAACTCTCCGGAAGCTGCTGCCCTGCCCTCCGTGTTGGAGAGCGCAGGCCTCTGGAGGGCCCTGAGACTTTCCTTTCTCCCTGGGCTCTGGTTTTGTTGGGAGCAGCAGGTGAGGAAATCAATGGCTCCTTTTTTGTGGTTTCAGGTTCCAGGACGATACTGCCCCCAGTAAACGGGCATCTCCAGTTTCTCAATCGATCATCTGATCAATTGATTAAATTAACAGTGATTTTTTTCCCCCCTCCCTTCTCAATGACCTAGGAAGAAATGAGTTTATGGGAGAAGAGTCATTTTTATAAAATGTAGACCTGTGTTTCATTTCTGCACTTAGCCCTCTCCCTCTTTGTTGCTAAGTTTTCACTCTGAGGAGAAGGATTTTTTTTTTTTCATTTCCCATGCCGCCAGGCAACTCTGGCACTACCCTACTGAGTATCACTGACCATCAGGCTTAGGTTGCCTATGGGTGGGGGCCCAGGCCGTTATGCCACTTTAAGATGGGGCAGAACTGCAGCAAGGGGGCCTCCCTGGTGACTGAAGGGTACTCTAGGTCATCTTGGAGGTCCGGGGAGCTGAGTTCCTTCCCTGGATAGTAGCAATAGGAGTGGCAGCTTGCCTGTTATCCCTGGAGCTACATGGAAGAGGAGCCAGAGACTTGGAAAGGAGCTGTCTGTGCCATCTTGCCTCTGAATACTGGCTTGGGATATTTTAGCAGCTGAGAACATAAAATGACTGTGGAGCCTTCCTCTCCAAGCAGGAGGGGGGGCAAGCTGGCGGGGGCGCTGTCTGCATAAAACGGCTTTATGGCCGTTTCTTTTTATTATGATTCTGCCAGAAGTCAGCAAGTGACATTTCATTAAGAAAATAAAGTTTAATATGCTGGGAAAGAGGTTGGAGCAGGCTGGGGCAGCACAAGAGTAAAACTAGCAGCAGCAGCCTGTTCTGAACACCTGTGGGGGTAGGGAGAGGTTCCCAACATCTGTCTCAGTGGGAGGGGTCAGGGTCAGAGTGAATGGCTCAGACCAGAGGCAGAGGCCTTTTCTTTGGCAAAGAAAGTCTGTCGTGCTGTCCATCCTGCCTGACTGGCCAGAGGAACAAAGTGGCTGCCCAGCTGGGAGCTGGGATCTGATAAGGAAAGTTGTGTCCTGAGCGGTTTCTCCAGGCCACCAGCTAACTAGGAACTAATAGAGCAGTGTCGCCAGTGTTTAGCCAGTACTGCTAGGATGTGCTGTGTGGCATCAGCCATGAGCCTGGCCAGCTCTGCTGAGTGATGCTGAGATCACAACAGTGCGTCAAACTTGGGACCTTGCAGCTTCCGGTCTGGTAAGGGACAGTGACAATATATGGTAATATGATTTTGGAGTTACACAGGAGTCTGGATGGACACCAGGGAAGGGACACCTGTGTATAAGAACCTGGGAAGCCCCATCCACCACGCAGAACACCTTGAGGATAGGGATCAGATCTTGAAGCTCTCTATTCTCAGCATGGAGACAAACAGGAAAAGCCCAATAGAGGTGGAAAGAATGGTGTTGAGGTGAGAGTTCTTTCCTCTAGCAGGGATTTAGAGAGCAGCTGCTCTGTGTAGGCACTGTGAGTTAATGGTAGGAGGCACCGTTGGGCTGAGTCAGACTTGCAAAAGGAGGAAGCATGTGTATTGTAGACCAGGAGGGAGAAGGTTCTAGGCAGAGAGCAGGAGGTGCGGAAGCATGGGGGCATGAGAAAGCACTTAGGATTTGGGAGACCACAGTAGCTATGTTCAATGGAGTATGAGTCCTGGGCCAGGCATGGTAGGCAGTAAGACTGCAGAGGAAAGGACTTCAGGCCACAGGGCTGCTTTACATGTTGAGAAGCTGGGGCTTTTCCTGGCAGCTTTGGGGTACCTGTTTTCTCTGCTTTGCCATGGAGCCATACTGGGTTCACATGTGGTGCTAGGGTTCTCTGCTTTCCACTTATAAGGCAGAACTAGGCTGAGCAGAGGATGAGGCCGGCTGCTGAGCTGCGTGTACCTGGGGAAGGGGGGTTGTCAGGGCTTGGGGGCCACAAGCTGTAAGTGAACCTGATAGCTACATTCTGATTGATAGTAGAGTTTGTCTCCCAAACTGTCAGAGGGTTTATAGAGGTGCCACTCACCCACAAGGCGGGAATTGCTTGTCAGGACACCTGGCCGTGAACAGGAGACAGAGCTGTAACTTGGTGTTTTCTCAGCTTAACGGCCCTGCTGCTGACCTGCCTGCTGCCTCAAGTGTGTCAGTGCCTCAGGATAGAGGGCAAATGAGGACTGTCAGGGAGAGGTGGAGCCCAGGCAGTGCCCAGCGTCTTTCTTTCCCAGGGCTGCTTACCTTCGGGGCAGGTGGTATCTGTGTGAGACCAGAGACTGGTGGGGTTAGAAGGGAGAAGGATCAAGACTCAGTGTTTTTCAGAGCTTGAAAGATGGAGAACATTCCAGATGGGGTGAATAGCATGAGCAGGGGTCTTAAGAGCAGGATATGCAAGGTATGTTTGGGGTTTGGTGAGCAGCCTCCGTGTCCACATGCATGGCATTTGCGGAGTGAATAAGTAGAGAGCGAGAGTAGAGACATAGATGGATCCAGATCTTCACAGATCTGGCTGAGGAGCCTGGGCTTGGTTGTGCATGCATTAGGGGGCCATTGATGGGTTTGGAGCAGGAGGAAAAGTGGTCAAAACTCAGTGGTAAGCAGAATGAGGGAGCAGACAGGAGGCCTGAAGACCCCTTACAAGACATACCCTAATGAGAGTATAAGGACCTGAGAGGAAAGAATGGACAAGCAGAAATGCCTGATATCATCAGGCAGAACACTGAGCTGCTTCCTCACTTTAAGGATTTCCTTGTTGATCCCAATAGCCATAGTCTTTTGTCCCTGGCAAGGCTGTGCTGGCTAGTGAGGTGTGGTCTGAGACTCACTGGGAAGAAGTGGGAAGCTGGGGGGAGCAGCTCTGTAGCCCTTGACCCTGGGCTATCAGGAAGGGCAGTCCTGGAAGTCAGAGAGATCACCTGGCAGGTGAGCAGGCCTGGTGTAGCCCCTGCAGTTTGCCCCTCTGCATGAGCTGAGAGTCCTCCTGTGGCTGTGCCAGACGCACCTCAGGGTCAGCTGCCTGCCTGGCCGATGGCCTGGCCTCCGCCCAGCCTGGCTGCCTTCATGGACTGGTTTGAGAAGTAGGTGTGCATGCCTGTCCTCCCTCGTCTGTCCCTTTTTAATCCCTTTATAACTGCACTTGTCCAGGAATCTGGGCTGAGTGAGGTGGAGATGAATAATTAATGTCAGGCGCTTCAGACACCAAATATTTGAACAGCTGCCTGGTGTTTTTGCTGGCAAGGACCTAGCGGCCAAAATCAGGATGTTGGCCGGGGGCACCACTCTGTGGCTCTGATTGGCCTTAGCCAGCCTGTTCTCTTCTCTGATGGACTTGTCAGGATGGATAATAGGGCATAGGGGAGGCCCAGCTCCTTTCCTGTGAAATTCCTAGACCTGAAATTTTCTGTCCTCTTCCTGTTCTTCCTAGACCTGGAATATAGGTGGACAGCAGGCCTGGGGCTGAGTGTCCCCCAAGGACGTGACATAATGTATGAATGGGCTAGTTTATGAGCAGAGACCACTTGGAGCAGCATGCGGTGGCAGGGAAAGATGAGGTTTGCAGAGTGAAGGGCCTGAAATGTCAGGGTTAGGGGCACTGAAGTATCTGGCTGTATATATCCCAGGCCCAAGTTTCCCTCTGGACCTTATGATGTCCAAAGCCTAACCCCTACCTGGAGGCAACAGGAGGGGCACCCTTGGCCTAGTCTTATTGTCCCCAGGCCCTCCTCACACCCTGCTTCCCACAGGCTCTGGCTTCATCATGTGCAGCGGCAAAGAGAATCCAGACAGTGATGCTGACTTGGATGTCGATGGGGATGACACTCTGGAGTATGGGAAGCCACAGTATCCTTGGAGCACCATGGGGGCTGGCAGGGCTGATGGGGCAGGCCACAGAGAATAAGAAAAGTAGCTTTCTCTGGTATTCACCTGCGCCACCCCCTGGGCCAGAGTCTCAGCTTTGGCCAGGAGGAGCACGCTCTCCTGAGGATTCAACCCTATGGCCTGCTGCAAAATTAGGATCCATTGTCCTTGACCACCACACCAGATACACAGAGGCTGACGTCATCCCCTGCACAGGCGAGGAGCCTGGTGAAGCCAAGGAGAGAGAGGCACTCCGGGGCGCAGTCCTAAAGCAAGTGTGGGCACTGGCTTGGGCAGGTGGGGCAGAGAGACAGGAAGCCCTGAGGCAGGGGTCAACCCAGTACTGACCCTCAGGGCTGTCCTGCCTGCCTTCAGGCCTGATTTCGTTCTTCCTCCCTCCTTTCCTCCAGTGGTGGCCCTCCCAGCACGCGCATCACGCCTGAGTTCTCTAAATGGGCCAGTGACGGTAAGTCCTGCCCCAGGTTAGGAATAATGGGGGAGAGGTGGCATTCCTGGATGGTGGTAACTGACTCAAGCCCAACCCCTCACCTGTGCTGCCCAGTCTGGCTGGAGTGTGAGTTGCCCCTCTGTCCCAGCAGAGATGCCATCCACCAGCAATGGTGAAAGTAGCAAGCAGGAGGCCATGCAGAAGACCTGCAAGAACAGTGACATTGAGAAGTAAGTGTTTGGCCAAGAGGGGGCCCTGGGATGGTGGTACTGGGAGGAGGGGCGCTTTGCTGCAGGAAGGCCTGCTGCCAGGGCTTCTGCTTCCCAAGTGCAGCTCAGTGCTGCTGCCCTGGGCACACAGCCGGCAGTGGAGCCCAGCTGGTGCTAAGCGTGACTCTGTGAATTGATCGCTGGGCCACGGCCCTAGGAGCCTTGGCGGAGGGAGGAGCAGTCCGCCCGCTTGCCTGCCCGCTACAGCGGCCTCCGCCCGGGGAATGTGATGTATGGCCGCCCAGCCCAGCTGGCGCACTTGATTCATCTCCAGTTTCTGTTTCTTAATCGGGAGCTAAATTGGTTTCATTTTTCTTGTCCCGGGTGGCACTCGCAGTGGGTTTTAGGCAGGAACATCAGGTCTCATCACTTCGGGTAGGAATTTTTGGCCTGGGTTCTCTGACAGAGGAAAAGGGATCCATTAGCGCTTCGCCCAGGGCTGGGCAACCCCTGGGCTGGATCCCTGGGAATCACAGGATTTGTTATCAGCTGGGCATTTCCCTGCCTTTCCAGAAGCCCAAGGAAGGCCAGTTCTGGCCTCAGGAGATGGCATTGTCCAGTCTGGCTGCCTGGTACTGCTGCCATTGGTCATTGCTTAACTCCAGTACCCACCCCACCCTCTGACTGCAGGCTAGGTTGCCTGGGGTTAAAAGGCAGCCTCTTCATTCCAGGGCCAGTGTTCCATCTTGCCTTCTGCCAGGAGAGTGGATTGCAGGCCGGTGCAGGGCTGGGTCGGTGGCCCAGGGTCACCTCCCATTTGTTTCCCTCCATTTTGTGTTGTCATAAATTCATTCCAGTCCGTTGTGGTTGATCAGTTTATCTCGGCCGGGGCTGCGAGTGCTGCTGGCATGATGTATGGGCCGCGGCGCAGGGCCCGGCTGCCCATGAATCACCGCAGCTGCTCCGTGTCAGCGCCGGAGCGGGCCGTATGGGTTCGGCGCAACCAGCTTGTTGGGGGGAGGAATGACGTATGGATGTTTATTTAATAATTCTCTCCTACTCCAGCTGAGCGGGGCAGGCGGGGTTGTAAGGGGCACCCACCCTCGTCTGGAGGGGCTGCTCATAAATCAGAAAGACAAGATCATTAATCAGGGATGGCGCCCGAGGGGGAGGTAGGGGCAGAGCCAGTGGTTTCCATGAAGGTACAACCCACCCAAGGCTGGGGGAAGCCAGGATTTCTGTCCCACCTGTGTGAGCACAGGCACCCAGAGGCAGGGATCTCTATGATGAGGTAGAGACTGGCTCAGTCATGTGCAGAGCTCTCCACTGGGTCTGGATCTGCTGAAATTGGGGTGACTTCTCTATTTCTTATCCTAGATCTGTTTTACCACTCAGGGAAAGGGAAACATAGGATGCCATGGCTTCCTCCAGGAATCCCCACCCCATCCCCTGGAGGGACTCAGGAATAGCCCACAGCCATCCTGGACCAGGAGTTGGAGGATTGGGTATTTCCCCAGAGCAAAGATCAGAGGGCAGGTGTGTGCTGACCACACCCAGGATAGGTAGGCTCTGTAAAGTTGGTTATTGGTCCTCAGTGTGGCCTTGTAGCTCTTGGAGATGGCATGGGAAATGGCCTTGCTCTCTCTTGGCCTCATCCTTTTTTGCCATTCCAGCTTTAGTTCTCTGATGTGGGGTCTAGGAGTTAGTTCTCCATTCTGGGGTAGGCTGCCCCCAGCTGCAGGCCTTAGTTTCCCCATCTTTGAAATAACCATGTAGGATTAGGCAATTTCTCAGCTTAGTCCTTGGAGTGGAAGGGAGCACAGCTACAAATCCTTGTCACCTTATTAGGAATTTATCTATAATTCAGACGGGGATGGCACATATGGCACTGTGCAAAATGCCAGGGAAGGAGCCTGCTATTTGGATGTTTGTGAGGGGGGAAGGGGTGGTAAAGGCTTAAAAGCCAGAGGGGTAAATGGAAGCCCCCAGGGATTCAGCCAGTACCATGGGGAACTAGTCAGAGCCTTTCTTGGCATCCCTGGAGAGAGGCAAGGCAGAGAGAGAGTCATGGACCCTAGGGTGATGGATTTAAGTGTCCCTGATAAGGGACACAGCCACTAAGGAGTCAGCGCTCTGTGTTGCCGCTAGCTCCCCAAAAGAAAAAGACCAGAGATTGAAGTTTGTTACTGCCCATGAAATGTGACCACTACCCTCCTTGCGCTTCCATTACCACTCCCGTCCAGCAGTGACAGACCACCTGTAAGCTCTCAAGCTTCCTAAACTGATGGTCTGCCCTAGACTGCAGAACAGGTGCCCCCAGGAGACTGTCCTTGCCCACAGTCTACCTCCCTTGTGATTCCCCCACCTCAGTCCAGCCTCTGCTTCCTGATTGAGTACATCTGTGAAACACGAGCTGTTCTGTACCCTGCTCTTCCAGCATGCTCAGCAGGTTCCTGCTGCCCACGAGATGATCAGCTCCTTCAGGTGTGGCATTTGAGGCCCTCCTGCACGCCGTCTCCCTTCTCACGGTAGCACTTTGCCTACACATGGGCCTTCTAGCCAGACTGGGATGATAGCCTCTGTTTCTGCTATTCCCTTGGCCTGGGGCACCACTTCCTCCTAGCTGTAGCCAGTATAGTCATGGTCAGTCACATAGTTATCAGTTGATCACGGAATCAGTCTGCCAGGTTTGAATCCCATCTCCCTGACTCTGTGGGGACCTTGAGCAAGCTATTTAATCTTTCTGTGCTTTAGTTTCTTTGTATATAAAACGGAGATATTAGAATCTTCTCATGGGGTTTTTGTGAGGTGTAAATAAGATAATTATCAATCCCTCAGTACAATCCCTGGCATTTAGGAAGTGCTTAACAAATTTTAGCTATTTTATTTGTATGATCATTATTATTCCCTATGGCCAATCTCCTATACCATCTTTTGTACTCTTCTAGGAAGTCTGTGAGCTCCCCTGGGTCCTGTTCACTTGTTTTAGGAGGGTGGGAAGGTTCCGTGAGAGAGTCCTAGGTGTTTCCTGTTCAGCATTGCAGCCCAAGGAGTCCCAGAAATGCTGAAGGGACCTTCTAGTGCCGGGCTTGGGCCACAGACCGAGGACTACCAAGGCATCTGCTGTGCCTAGGAAGAAGTGACAAGGAACACTGGAGGCAGGCCTGGCTGTGGCAAACGGACCCAGATCCCGGGGGACCCATCCAATCCCTGCGTCCAGTCCCCCTTTCCCTGGAGGTTGGACGGGCTCTTTATTCAGCAGACATTTGCCCATGCCCCATGCCCGAGGTTGGGTTCTCAGCCATAGTCAATACTGGTGGAGTAAGCAGCCTGCCCTCAAGTAACCCACACTTGGGAACTTTACACTGCTGTGGTAGAGTTCACACGGGGGTCAGAGAGCCACTGTGCAGTGCTGGCTTGGGGGTCTGGAAAAGGCTTCTGGGAGGACATGGGAACAAAACTAGGTCTGAATGATGATGCAGAGCTAGTGAGTCAGGCGAGGGGGTGCAGAGGGGTCACAGTGCAGAGGCCAAGGCAGTGAAAAAGGTGGCATGAATGGTGGCACATAGGAGTTGAGCATAAAACGCGTGGTAAGGTGCTGAGGGATGCAACAGGCTGCGGCTGCACCGAGTGTGGCAGAGCTCTACTCTGAGCTGAGCGCTGATTGTTGGAAGTCACCACAAGAGATTCGCTTTGAGAATGTGAATTCTTCCAGGTGCTGGGAGAGTGCAATGGAGATGAGGAGCCTGGAGGCAGAGAGGCTGTCTGGAAGGTTAGTGGAGGAATCAGTAGAAGACATTGGAGAGCCTGGACTAGTGGTGAGGGGAAAGAAGTGGAGAGATTCCGGAGATACTAGGAGAGAAGACAGATTGAGGTTGTTGGGAAGACTGCGAAGGAAGGGTTGAGAATGGTTCCCTGGTATCTGGTGTAGAAACTCATCTGGATGTGAGTATAGGAACAGAGAGGGTGAGGAGTTTGGTTCTGGAATGTGGAATTTACAGATTCGGATTATCAGAGGAAGGGGCAGGCAGGGATGCCTAGGGGACATTTATGTATTTGGTTCTGGAATTCAAGGGAGATGTAGGCAGGAGGTGCAGATGGGAGATGCCAGCCTGTTACCCAACCATGTCTTCCTTTTTACAGAATCACTGAAGATTCAGCTGTGACCACGTTTGAGGCTCTGAAGGCTAGGGTCAGAGAACTTGAACGGCAGCTATCTCGTGGGGACCGTTACAAATGCCTTATCTGCATGGTGAGCAGAAAAGAACCTAGGGTGCCCTTGGTTAGGCTTCTGCGCCCTCTGGGGGATTTGGAGAGGGTCTGTGCACTGATTTGGGCTCTTTGGAGGGTGGGCCTGCCTCAGAGTGACCCCTTCTCTGCCCCTTCCTTCCTAGGACTCGTACTCAATGCCCCTAACGTCCATCCAGTGTTGGCATGTGCACTGCGAGGAGTGCTGGCTGCGGACCCTGGTGAGGTGGCATGGGGGTCGGGGAGTGGGAGGCCATTCCGGTCACTGCCCAGATATCTGTGCTTATGCCTGAGCCTGCCTGGGGGAAGTGGGGAGCACAGGCAAGGGAGAACACAGCCAGGAGCCAGGATACTGACCTCAGCTCGCTGCCTTTCCTCCCCCACTGCAGGTTTAGTAACTTCTCCCCCTCCATGAGTTCACTGCATTCTCCCTTCCCCTCCCCTGGCCCCCGAAGGCCCACTGCATCACACATACTGGTGAGGCCCCAGGTCAGGAGGAGGCTGGCTGTGGGTAAACAGGACCAGGGCCTTGGCCCCTCCCCCTCCCATTACTAAGGTCCTTCTGCTCCTGCCCCTGTTCTTCGCTCAGGAGCAGCCATTAAAATGTCGCCCGGAGACAGCAATAAAAGGCTCGGACGTGGGCTCTGTGTCCTGATCAAAGGCCGTGTGTAATCTTGTTAGGGCTGCGGCTGCCACAGCTGGACCCAGCCTTGTTCTCATTACCGGGGCTCCTGCTGCGGGGCTGGCCAGGCGGTTTGATCCTGGCGTCCCACCAACACAGGAACGTGCCTGCCTGCTCATAGAAGCTGCCTATGCGTCCCCAGCCTGGGCTGACAGGACCAAGGTCCCAGCACACACTGGTGCAGAGAGACATGGCTTCAGGCCCAGGTGCTCAACGTGCACACACGTGGCACATTGTGTAGACCAGAGTCCTCCCTGTTCTCCCTGCAGGGTGCCAAGAAGCTCTGCCCTCAGTGCAACACGATCACAGCACCCGGAGACCTGCGGAGGATCTACTTGTGAGCTATCTGCCCCAGGCAGGCCTTGCCTCCAGCAGCCCCACCTGCCCCCAGCCTCTGTGACAGTGACCCTCTCCCTTTGTACATACTTGCACACAGGTTCCCCATGTACATACATGCACATACTCACACACACATACACACACATTTACACATGCAGGACTCTGGAGCCAGAGTAGAGGCTGTGGCCCAGGCACTACCTGCTGGCTCCCACCTATGGTTTGGGGGCCATACCTGTTCCAGCTCTGTTCCCAGGGTGGGGAAGGGAGGTGGGGGTGGGGGGAGTAGTGGGGCACGGCTCCTGAGATCCAGCCCCCAGACTGACAGATGGACAGACATGCAGACACCAGACTGAAGCACATGTAATATAGACCGTGTATGTTACAATGTTGTGTATAAATGGGACAACTCCTCGCCCTCTACCTATCCCCTCCCCCTTTGGTTGTATAATTTCCTTCTTTTTTTAAGAACCCCTGGAAGCAGTGCCTCCTTCAGGGTTGGCTGGGGGCTCGGCCCATCCACCTCTGGGATACCTGCCTCTCCCTCTCCTGTGGTATTCCTTCCCTCTCCCATGTGCTCGGTGTTCAGTGGTGTATATTTCTTTTCCCAGACATGGGGCACATGCCCCAAGGGACATGATCCTCTCCTTAGTCTTAGCTCATGGGGCTCTTTATAAGGAGTTGGGGGTTAGAGGCAGGAAACGGGAACCGAGCTGAAGCAGAGGCTGAGATGGGGGGCTGGAGGACAGTGCTCCTGGCCACCCAGCCTCTGCTGAGAACCATTCCTGGGATTAGAGCTGCCCTTCCCAGGGAAAAAAGTGTCTCCCCGACCCTCCCGTGGGCCCTATGGTGTGATGCTGTGTCTGTATATTCTATACAAAGGTACTTGTCCTTTCCCTTTGTAAACTACATTTGACATGGATTAAACCAGTATAAACAGTTGCTGCCTGTGTGTATGTGTGTGCGGAGGTGGGGGAGCTGTTGGGTGGAGGTGGGCTGAGGCAGTTAGGGGGTTAATTCCTGGCGGCAGGATGGGGGAAAGGACTTAGCTATAGGTGTGCTACACTGTGTAGGGTTGGTCGGCTCTGAGGCCCTGGAGCATTTGGCTTGGATGGGGGTTGGGCTGGGGATCTGGGCTCCTGACTATTGATGGGTAGGGACTCTAGGTTAATTCTTTATTGATGCAGAATCGTCAGCTCATTAATCACAGAAGAGGTCAGAGCTTGGGGGTATAGAGAGGATGCAAGGTCTGTCCCCCAACCTAGGGCAGGAGTGGCGGTAAGCTTGGGTGCAAACACAAGCCCCAGGCCTCTATCCCTTTCTGATCCCCTGAAACATACCAGAGACCACAGTGGGATCACCATATCAGCCTCCCACGCTTTTGTTCTATTCTCCAAAGGTATCTCGAGTGACCATCGTCCCTGTAGCTACTGCCTAGATCCTCAAATGGAAAGAATGGAAACTCTGTTATCCAAGATGGACCTTCAAGTCTCCCTGTGCTCGGAGAACCAAAGCTGGGCTGCTAGCACTGGACAGATGGCACTTTGACCCCCACAGCTTCCCACTGCCAGTGAGGTAGCTCACCTTCCTAGAAGCCTCCCAGGCACGTGCTCAAAGATACATGTAAGTCCTCACCGACAACAGACAGCATTTGGAGAAAAACACTCAAGGCCCCAGAGTAGCTCCACGACTCCAGACTTGTTTTGACATCTTCTTGCACACCAGGCCCATCTGCCCAAATCCCCACCCTTAGTTGCCCATATTCTCTGGGATACCCTCAGTGAATTCCTCAGAATTGGGTCCAGTTGGCAGCTGCTGCCATCCCTTGGACCCAGATGAAGACAGACAAGTCCCCCCTTGGAGCCCAGCAAAGGCCCTTCACAGCCCCACGCCCAGCTTGATGAAACCCAGTATCCTGAACACAGGGATCCTGGGAATGTTCATGGCCTCTGTCGAGGGAGGCGGGTGGAGCAGCCCCAGCAATGGCTGAGGGTCTGGGAAAGAAACAGGTTTAGAAGAGTGGGTAGGTGAGGGCAACGGAGAAATAAAGAGGAGACTCTTCATGCCCAGTTCCCATCAGGCCGACTTCTTTGATGTCTTTACTCTCCCATAGACTTGGACTCAGTAGGTCCTTGATGGCTGGTTACCACCACCGTGGGGGCGATATGTCTCTAAAAGGGGCCATTAACCCAGAGCGAGGGCATTCCGCTGAAGCCCACCCTGCTGTGGGAGCCTTGAGCTGTCTCATGGCACAGGCTGCACTGCCACCTGTTGGCCATGGCTAGGAATGCAGCCACACAGCATGGGAATCCCTGCCACCATAGTGGGGAGTCACCAAGGACTGATGGGCTGCAGACAGAACGTGGCTCTGGCGACAGAGGACCCATCATCCCCGAGAATATCAGGGGTCAGCTCCCATCCAGAGCTTTTCTAGCCATCTCCTTCACTGCCGCCTAAGCACCTTGATTACCACGGTAAGCTCAATTAACAAATATTTATTAAATACCTACTATGTGCCAACATTGTACAGCAGTGACTTCTGGAATGATAAATGATACTGAACTATTAGGCTGAATTCATCTCTCCTGCCTAGAGAGTTTCTAAATGGGTTTCCCTTTAAGGAGATGAGGAGTTTGCTATTTCAGTCCTAAATCCCCTTACCCTGGTCTCTAGGGCTTGGGAGTTTGGTTCTGGTCTTTAGGGCTTGGGAGTTAGCTTGTCCCACCTCCTGTTAGAATGCTGCAGCCTTCCTGCTCCCCGCTCTCTTTGGCAACTTTCAGCTTGCAACTTTCCCGGATCCGGCGGTTTCCAAGCAAAGTGTGGTGGAGCCGGGCAGGCCCCTAACCTCTGCATCCTTAGCTCCTCATCTGGCTTCTACCTGAGACTCCCAGGCAGTGAGGTCAGAGGAGCCTCTCAACTGCCAAGTGGGACCCATGTGGATGGTACTTTGCACTGTAGGGCTTTGCCCTGCTGGGGCAATGATCACAGCCCCTATCCCCCGCCTGACCCTACCCCTAATCGAGATACCTTCCCTCTGGCATTTCCCCACAAAGCTCACGTTCCTTTCAAGGAATCAAAACTCAATTCTGGCAACTATACAGGATGATGAAGTTCTGCATTATGCAAGATACAAGATTATTCAGTTCTAGAGGTCTGCTGTGTATTATATCATCCCTTAAATTTTAAGTATTGTACACACTTGAAATTTTGTTAAGAGAAGAGATCTTGGCCAGGCATGGTCACTCATGCCTGTAGTCCTAGCACTTTGGGAGGCTGAAGTGAGAGGATCACTTGGGCCTAGGAGGTTGAGGCTACAGTGAGCCGTGACTGCACCATTGCACCCCAGCCAGGATGACAGAGTGAGACCCTGTCTCAAAAAAATAAATTAAATGAAGAAAAAGAGAGTAGGTCTCCCGCTGCCCTTTGTCAACCTTTACAGCCTGCATGCCACAGGAATCAGCAGCCTGACTGGCACTTGTCCAAACACAACTCACTGTAAGACTCCCCCAGACACATGCCCCGGCATTCCTGCACCTTAGGATTCTGTGGTAAGCAGACCACCAGCAGACAGAGGTCCCCAGGAGACAGGCCTATAGGAATTTTCTACTTAGGAGACCACAGAGTCCCAAACGGCCACAGAGAGTTGAACCAGAAGAGGGCCCCACAGATGCAGGTGGTGGGGAGGTATCAGGCATTTATTTCTGGAGCAGAGGTGAGGTCGAGCAATGACCTCAGCAGTGGACACAGTTGCGCATGAAGTCGACACAGAGGCTCGTGTAGTAAGTAGGGTAGTCACGAAGGTGGCTGACATGTGCAGATGACACAAAGTCCACAGAGCGCACGAGGACCCGGCGTGCCAGGCGTGCCTCCACCATGCGTTCTACGTCTCTGGACTGGACTACTTCATCAGCCCTCGAGTAGAGGTAGAGCTCGGGCCAGCAAGAGCCCGCGTCCTGCAGCCTGTCATAGAAGTGGGTGTGGAAGAGGGCTGTGATGGGAGCAAGCAGGAAGTGGAATAGGACAACCACCAGGGCAAAGGCCACCAGCAGCAACAGGCGCAGTATGGCGGGCCAGTGCTCCAGGATGGCTGCCAGGGCCCGCAGAGCCCCTAGCAGGTTGCTGTCACCAGGAGCGCTGTCAAAGATGGTGCCCACCACCCGCAGGTGGTGGAAGCGATGGGTCTGCAGGAGCTCCAGCACGTACCGGTATAGCATGACACCAGCGTTGCTGAAGACATGGAAGAGCAGAGGCTCCTTCTCAATCTCATAATCAAAGAGCAGCTCAAGCAGCTTCTGGGCCAAAACACGAAGTGAAGGGATGCCCATCGACTCGGAGAAGAAAACCATGTGCCACGGGGCTATGTATCGGATTACGATGCAGCCCTGGGGAGAGAGGCCCAGTCAGTCCTCACAGATGAGGTCGGGGTAGTGGGTTCAAGCTAAGTTCAGAGGGGCCCAGCAACCCCAGCCTGGAGGACACAGGCCATGGGCCCCACAGAGTCAGCAATGATGTAGGTCCTGCTTCAGCCTGAGCCCACCAGCTCGCCACCCGCAGACACCAGTGCCTTTCGGGGGGGAGAAAGTAGACTCAGGGCCCATTTTTGAACTAATTGCTTCATGCTAGCCAAGCCCTCTTGGCCTGGGGTGGTATTTGAGGCCCAGAGCCTACGCATGTTCTGGAGACATCTGGGCTGACCTAAGTCTCTTTACTCTGGTTCCCTCCTTTCTGTGCCTGCCCTTCCACCCTAGACCTTGCACATTTGGGGCAGGGCCTCACTGCTTGGCTATCCCCTTCCCCAGCACCTAGCTCTGCACTGTCCCTACCTCCCAGACACAAGTATTACCCCCATGAGACCACTACTGGAGACCTGGCCTGCAGGCCCCAGCCCTGACCACCAGAGGCCACTTCTGAGCCAGGCACATATCACTTCCATCACTGGTCACTGTCGCGTTTCCTCCCTGCCAGGCCCCTAAAAATAAAGTCCATTCTCTCTGGATTCAGACACCTGACACCCAAATGTCTCTGGTTCCCAGGCCTGGGACCACTCCTCATACTTGCCCTGAAATTCCAAATATAGTAAACACTTGTTCCTTGAATTCTAAAATCTGGGCCCAAACTCCCTTAGGCTTCTGTGCTCCTCATGGCTGGGTCAAGAGTGCCACAATCTCCACACAGGTCCCCTTCTAGGTCAGTCAGAAGAGCCACCGTGCCTGGCTCCTAATCCCCTCTCACCCTCCTGTTCCAGAGGCAAAGGGCCCTTTGTTGGGGCAGTGTGACTTGGGAGAGTGCTGGGGTCAGACATGTCTGAGTTCAACTCCTGACACCACTACATATCAACAGTAAGAACAAGGAGCAGTTTACTTCTCTCTGAGTCTGGATCCCCATCTATAAGGTTATGGTGAAATTGGGATAGCACCCATCTCATAAGGTTATGGGTCAAATTAGATGGAAAAAAATGTATCTTAAGTGACTAAAGCAACACCTGGCACAAAGTAAACTCTCAACCAATAGCAGCAGTAATTAGTGACGTAGTAGTAACAAGGAGAAAATGGTTGGACACAGTAGTTTAATGGGCCATGGCCAAACAGGGATGGTCAGCAGAGGTACCTTGCCATCAGCCCCCTGACTTCCTAGCCCTGGACTGCCTAAGTGTTCCTCCCAAGACTATGAAAAGGGGGCTGCTTAAGACCACCCACATTCCCCCAGATGCTCAAATCCAACAGAGGCCTTTCACTCCCCATTGTGTTTCTCCCTGGGAGCATTTGGAATCACACACTCCTAGAAATACTACCTTGCAGCCCAATCTCTTCAATAAGTTGTTAACATGAAAAAAGGGGATATTCTACAGCCTGGACAACAGTGAGACCCCCATCTCTAAAAAAGAAAAAAAAAAAAGACCGGGTGCTGTGGTTCATGCCTGTATTCCCAGCACTTTGGGAGGCTGAGGCGGGCAGATCACCTGAAGTTGGGAGTTCAAGATCAGCCTGACCAACATGGAGAAATCCCATCTCTACTAAAAATACAAAATTAGCAGGGTATAGTGGCACATGCCTATAATTCCAGCTACTTGGGAGACTGAGGCAGGGGAATCGCTTGAACCCAGGAGGTTGTGGTGAGCCAAGATCACGCCACTGCACTCCAGCCTGAGCAACGAGAGAAACTCCGCCTCAAAAAAAGAAAAAAGAAATGGTGGGGCACAGTGGCTCACGCCTGTAATCCCAACACTTTGGGAGGCCAAGGTGGGCAGATCACAAGGTCAGGAGTTCGAGACCAGCCTGACCAATATGGAGAAATCCCATCTCTACTAAAAATACAAAATTAGCTGGACATGGTGGAGCATGCCTGTAATCCCAGTTGCTTGGAAGGCTAAGGCATGAGAACTGCTTGAACCGGGGAGGTGGTGGTGAGAGTGAGCCAAGCTCATGCCACTGCACTCCAGCCTGGGCGACAAAGCAAAACTCCATCTCAAAAAGAAAAAAATTAGCTTGGCATGGTGGGACATGCCTGCAGTCCCAGATAACTCGGGAGGCTGGAGGCAGGAAGATTGCTTGAGCCTAAGAGTTGAGGCTGCAGTGAGCTATGATTGCAGCACTGTACTCCAGCCTGGGTGACAGAGCAAGAGCCTGAATCTAAAAGCAGGTGGGGATGGGAACAGTTCTAGATTTAAAAGAGCCTTTGGAGTACAGTGGTGCAATCATAGCCTTAAGGAACAAAATAGATGCAATGTATGATCTGAGATTGGATCCTGGTTTGGGCACATCCACTGTAAAGGATGCTTTGGGGACAATTATGGAATCTGAATCTGGACTGGAAACTAAATGAGATGAACCTCCCTATCCCTGTGCCCATGCCCAATCTCTCATTAAACTACAATTCTACCTCCTGACAAGCTCCTCCATCCATCACCTTCCCTCTACCACCGTCAGCTCCAAGGTCCCGACTACCCTTTGTCCCTGGATCATGGCAAGCCCCTCTGAACTCACTTCTGGCTTCCAGCCCCAGCCCTCCAATCCCTCCCCCACTCTACAGCAAGGGACTTTTGTTTGTTTGTTTTGAGACAGGGTCTCACTTTGTTGCTTGGGCTGGAGTGCAGTGGTGCAATCTCGGTTCAATGCAACCAACCTCCACCTCCCAGGTTCAAGCGATCCTACCACCTCAGCCTCCCTGGTAGCTGGGACTACAGGTGTGTGCCACCACGCCTGGCTAATTTTTGTATTTTTGAGAGATGGGGTTTCACCATGTTGGCCAGGCTGGTGTCGAACTCCTGACCTCAAGTGATCCACCCACCTCAGCTTTCCAAAGTGCTGGGATTACAGGCGTGAGCCACCGTGTCCGGCCAAGAGGGACTTTCTGACTCACAAAATAACATCACATCCCTGCTTAAATCTCCTGAGGGCTGACCCCTCCAAGCCCCACCTCTCACCAGGTGCCTGTACCTTCATTCTTTGTCCCAGCCACACTTGACTATTCCTGGTCCCCTGCCTGGCCTCAGGGATCTCAGGCTAATGAAGAAGCCAGACAAGTCAAGTCCAGTGAGCAGAACTCAGAAGCAGCTGAAACTGGCCGCAGAGTGAGGCTGTCTGTAAAGGGCAACACCAGAGCCCCAGCCTCGGAGACTGGGGAGAGGCTTCAAGCTCAGAACTACATTTTCCCCCTAATCCCTCTCCCATTCCAGGGCCATCCACACCTCAGGCAGGCAGGAAGTGGACCTGGGTGAGTGGAGGGACGCCGAGGGGAAGGGGGCTCAGCTGGCCTTTCTTCCACGTGCCCCCTGCTCCTCAGTCCAGGGCTTCCAGCTGGCAGCTGTGGCTTTCTGCACCAGGACCCCTGCAGGGGGCTGCCTGGGGGAGAGATCTGGGCTGAGGAGGGGAGGGTGGAGTTGGAGGCCCAAGAGGTGAGAGAAGCTTCCAAAATATAACCAGGTCCTGCTAAGGCCCTCTCCTTAGCAGTTACCAGTTACCACGGCCTCCGCATCCAACTCTTGGCTGGACAAAAAGAAGCACAAATCTTTTCCGAGAGGCCCTGCTAGTGTGGGAATGTGAATGGTGCCATGGGCAGTGGTAAGACAGAAACTCACCTGGTGGGAAAGGAGGAGGTCCTAGGAGTACAAGCTATGCCCAGACACCCAGTCCCAGCTCCTGCTGCCCACAGAGGCACCGGCCGGTTAACAGGGACAGAAGCCTGGGGCAACTCCATAACTACGGGCCACATCAAGACTGCGCCACCCACTGTGGGATGCAGGAGGGAGGAAGGGGAAGCCATCAGGAGACTAAAGGGCCCAGACCAGGTCACAAAGCTGGCAGCAAAATGGGGATAATACCACCAAGTCCCTATGACCCCCTGCCTTCCTCACAGGCTCTTTTTTTCTTTGAGACATAGTCTCTTTCTGTTGCCCAGGCTGGAGTGCAATGGCCCAATGTTGGCTCACTGCAACCTCCATCTCCCTGGCTCAAGTGATTCTCCTGCCTCAGCCTCCCAAGTAGCTGGGATTACAGGCACGTGCCACCACACCCAGCTAATTTTTGTATTTTCAGTAAAGACAGGGTTTCACCATGTTGGCCAGGCTGGTTTCAAACTCCACGGGCTCAGGCCTGCCTCAAAGGTGTTCAGCCCTCACTGCAGCCCAGGGGAGAGGGCACCAGAGTACTCACCCTTTTGTGGTAGATGGCGCTGTACTTGGCAAGGTTCTTGTCCTTGCAGCCACCCCAGCCCAAAAGAATCACCACAGGCTGCTGAGTTTCTGCCTCCTTCCCACCTGGGCTGGGGCTGTTCTCTGAAACACAGATGTGGACTGTCAACACCAGAGCTGGGGTGGGGGTGGGGGAGACTGCCCAAGCCAGAGCCAGCAGCGCTCTGGCTGCTGCAGGCAGGGAACAAACGGGTGCCAGGCCCAGGCGTCCTGCCAGCGCATGTGCTCCAGCTCCCACCCCGTGCTGCTCCAGCTGCCTTTCTGCAGGCCTCTCAGGAGACACCATGAGGTCACTGGACAAACCAACACAAGGGCACCTTTCTTTAGAGACTCAAAGATAGCCCAAGTGAGGAAAGTGAATACCTTCTCCATGCCCTTTCACCTTCTGATCCAGGGCTCAGCAAACTACAACCCCAGGGCCAAACTGGGCACACTGCCTATTTTTATATGGCCTATGAGCTAAAATAATTTCACATTTTTAAATGGTTAAAAAAAATCAAAAGAATATGTTGTGACAGATGAAAATTATATGGAATTTAAATTTCAGTGTCCACAAATAAAGTTTTATTAGAACATGTCACACATTATTTACTTAGGGTCTATGATTCCTTTCACACTAAAAACAGCAGATTGGAGTAGTTACAAGACCAGGTGACTTGCAAAGCTTAAAATATTGACTGGCCTGGCCGGGCACGGTGGCTCATGCCTGTAATCCCAGCACTTTAGAAGGCCGAGGTGGCTGATCACAAGGTCAGGGGTTCGAGACCAGCCTGGCCAAAATGGTGAAACCCCATCTCTACTAAAAATACAAAAATTAGTTGGGCGTGGTGGTGGGTGCCTGTAATCCCAGCTACTTGGGAGGCTGAGGCAGTAGAATCGCTTGAACCTGGGAGGCAGAGGTTGCAGTGAGCTGAGATCGCGCCACTGCATTCCAGCCTGGGCCACAGTGTGAGACTACATCTCAAAAAACAAAACAAAAAAAAAAAAACCTGGCCCTTTACAGAAAGAGTTTGCCAGCCCCTGTTCTAATTCTATAAGCAGATAGAAGAAGAGGGTCTTTTTTGAGATAGAGTCTTGCTCTGTCACCCAGGCTGGAGGGCAGTGGCACAATCCTGGCTCAAGGCAGCCTCCAACTCCTGGGTTCAAGCAATTCTCCTGCCTCAGCTTCCTGAGTAGCTGGGATTATAGGCACCCACCACCACGCGCAGCTAATTTTTTTTTGAGACGGAGTTTCGCTCTTGTTACCTAGGCTGGAGTGCAATGGCACGATCTTGGCTCACCGCAACCTCCGCCTCCTGGGTTCAGGCAATTCTCCTGTCTCAGCCTCCTGAGTAGCTGGGATTACAGGCATGCACCACCATGCCCAGCTAATTTTTTGTATTTTTAGTAGAGACAGGGTTTCACCACGTTGACCAGGATGGTCTCGATCTCTTGACCTCGTGATCCACCCACCTCGGCCTCCCAAAGTGCTGGGATTATAGGCGTGAGCCACTGCGCCTGGCTAATTTTTTTTTTTTTAAGAGTAAAGGAGGGGTTTCACCATGTTGGCCAGGCTGGTCTTGAACTCCTGACCTCAAGTGATCTGCCCGCTTCAGACTCCCAGGAAGAAGAGGGTCTTAAAAGGATAAATGGATAGGACAGTGCAGATAGGGACATGAGACTGACTGACTCTGGCCTATACCAAGCCACCTACCCTGTCTGCAAGAGAATAATAACAGCATATATTTATTGAGGTTTAATAATACCCTAAGGCAGGTCCTCTTATACAGATGAAGAAATTGATGCAGAGTGAGGTTAAGATACTTGTCTAAGTAGAGTGTAGAGCTGGGAATCTGGCCCCTGCTCCCCACCGTAAACTACTCCAGCACTGTCTGTGCTGCCGTCCCATCCACAGCTGGTGATATGTGAAGAGGCACAAGCCAGCCGCCGCCACCACCAGGGCTGCCTTTGAAGAAGCCTCCCTGCAACCTTGTCAAACAGACCTCATCTCATTTCCCCTGCAAAGTGAATACCCACCCCCTCAGGGGGACTTCTGTACAAGGACCGTCTGTAGCCAGTTAATCTGCCCTCCCAAAAGGGCCGGCATGTACCCTTCCAAGGACCAAGCCACTTGGCTATGCTCAGCTGCCACCCTGAAATTTATGGATGCTGGTAGTGACCTGGCAACAGTAAATTTCAAGGCTAGCTAAGAGGATGGTAAATATAAATCACTAACCTTTGGACAAAAGGAAGACAACAATTTCCTGTGGAAATTAATGTGATTGAAAAGTTCAATGTTCCTGCTCTCTAGTAGTGGTGACTCTGGCCTTCAGAGATTAACTGCCCGCACCCGTGGAGGTCCCAGGCCTGGTTGCAACTCAGCCTGGAGCAGAAGCTGCCAAAGCCTCAGGACCCTGCTGACACCTGCCAGCCCTCCTGGCCTCCACAGTGCTGGTTCAGCCTCTGGTGAGGGACACAGTCCCACAGGTCTATCTCAAGCAGCTCCAAATATTCTCACCACTTTTCCCAGCCTAGTGTCCCCATCTTCTTCCAGAAGGCTCTTTACCTGCACTAGCCTTTCTCAGTGGGGACCCGGCTCAACCTTGCTGGGTATGATTCTGCCCATGAGGCTCGGGCTACCACAGCCTCATGGAGAGTAATCCACAGCTAGCGTTTGAACCTGCTTTTGCATCTCCGAGGCCCAGCAACTCAATTTCCAAGACCCTATTCTGGGAGGCTCCCTTATCTCTGCAGCTGTCTGAGAATGGGCTCCCCTTCCCCTGCCCACAGGGTTTTTCCATGTGCCTCCCCCGAGACACCAGCCAAAGGCTTTGGGATTTACTGTAAATGCAGAAAAAGCAACCAAGAGAGGTCACATTCCTTGGTGGACAGGAGATGTCAAGGCCAGCCCCCACCAGCAGAGATGGTGCATTCCCCATTGCCAGAGTTTCAAACAGCTGCTGCTAGGCCTCCAAACTGCCCCTCCTCCTGAGGCTGGGATTTGTAACTCCGTTTTGCTGGCAACCTTGGCTTTACCAACTCAGGCAGAAATGACTCATCACCCTCCATGAAGCTGAATAAACCCTCAGAATATTAGCACCCTGGACAGACTAACTAGTCCCATAGCCGAAGCTTTCTGTAATATTTTTTATTGATTTATTTATTTTTGGAGACAGGGTCTCGCTCTGTTGCCCAAGCTGGAGTACCGTGGCACAATCACAGCTCACTGCAGCTTCAACCTCCTTGGGCTCAAGCAATCCTCCCACTCTGCCTCCTGAGTAGCTGGGACCACAGGCGCATGCCCCCATAACCGCTTCATTTAAAAAAAAAAAATTTTTTTTTTTTTCCAGAGGGAGTTTCACTCTTTCCCCCAGGCTGGAGTAAAGTGGCGGATCTTGGCTCACTGCAACCTCTGCCCCCTCTCCGCCCCCTGGTTCAAGGGATTCCCCTGCCTCAGCCTCCCGAGTAGCTGGCATTATGGGCACCTACCACCATGCCTGGCTAATATTTGTATTTTCAGTAGAGACAGGGTTTCACCATATTGACCAGGCTGGTCTAGAACTCCTGAGCTCAGGCAATCCGCCTGCTTCCGCCTCCCAAAATGCTAGGATTACAGGTGTGAGCCACCTCGCCCAGCCAAAAGTAATTGCTATGGCTATTGTTATTTGTTGCCGCATTAGGATCATGATTCTTCCACCCTCTTGTACAAACTCCTGCCCCTTTCTTACTTATTCCACTGGCCATATCACCCTCTGCCCCTCCTGCTGCTGACATCTCCGGGCCTCTGGCAGGTGACCTTGAGGCATTGAAAACTTTGGTCCCTGGCTTGATCTCCCACTCTATTCAAAGACTTACCAGAACCCTGTACAAGCAATCAAATACGCCTTGTTCCTAAACCATTACAAACTTCTCTCAGCAAAAAGTGCTAACACACACAGCATGACGTGTAAGGCCCTATTCTAAACATTTCACATATCAACTCATTTATTATTCACAACACACCCGTAATCCCAGCACTTTGGGAGGCCAAAGCAGGCAGATCTCACTTAAGCCTGAGAGTTCAAGACCAGGCTAGGCGACATGGCAACACCTCATCTCTACAAAAATTAGCTGGGCAAGGTGGCACACGCCTGTAGTTCCAGCTCCTCAGGATGCCGAGGCAGGAGGATAAGCCCAGGAAATCAAGGCTGCAGTGAGCCAAGATCATGCCACTGTACTCCAGCCTGGGTGACAGAGTGAGACCCTATATTTTTTTAAAAAAATTAAAATACTCTTATGAGCAAGAATTCTCTCTCTCTTTTTTTTTTTTTTTTTTTTTTTTTTTTTTTGAGACAAAGTCTCATTCTGTTGCCCAGGCTGGAGTGCAGTGGCGTGATCTTGGCTCACTGCAACCTTCATCTCCTGAGTTCAAGCAATTCTCTGCCTCAGCCTCCTAAGCAGCTGGGACTACAGGTACGCGCCACCACGCCCAGATACTTTTTTGTACTTAGTAGAGACGGGGTTTCACCATCTTGGCCAGGCTGGTCTCAAACTCCTGACCTTGTGATCCACCTGCCTCAGGCTCCCAAGGTGCTACAATTACAGGCATGAGCCACTGTGCCCAGCTAAGAATTCTCATTTTACAGATGAAAACCTAAGACATATAGTAAACAACTTGCTCAAGGTTACATAACTAACAAGCAGTGAAGCTGAAATCCAAACCCAGGTGGTCCGACTCCAAACACCAACTTGTATCCACTACCCTAGCCAGCCCCTAGATAACAAAACCATCTCCATCACATCAGTTCCAAACCTGTATGCATGGCTGCCTCCTGTACATCAAGAGACCCAATAATGACCTCATCTACCTGCTTCTCCCAGCCAGGACTTCAATAGATGCTTCCTCATTTGGTCTTGCAACCATCCTAGAAGTTAGCTACTATTACTATCTCCATTTTACAGATGAGAAAATTAAAACACAGAGAGGGGAAGTCCCTTTCCCCCAAAAACATACACCCAGGAAAGAGCAGAGCCAGCGCCCACTCTCTGGACCACCAAGCTCTACTGCCTCCACTGGCGGGACCTGCATGTGCTGTTCTCCAGCCCATGATGCTGATGCTCCGTGT